GTTTAGCAACCCCATGTAGTTAAGTACCCCTTTAATGAAAATGGGTGGAGGCAAAATTGTTTTTGGTGTATTGTTGGTGGTATTCAGTTGCTTCTCGTTTTGATTATCAGATATGACGTCGAGGTTTTCGATAGTGGACTCGTCTACAGATAGAACGCTAAACCTGTTTGGCGTGACGAACGATTTCGCTTTCTTAATGGCGGCTGTATAGGATGGAGATTGCGGTGGAGTGGACGATGTCGATAAGTTACGTTTATTTTTATTTTTGTTTTTGTCATCATTATTTTTACTGATTATTTGGTTATTGACAATTTTAATCGGGGATACGGTTCTGGAAGTCATATCGCCAATGTTATCGGAGTCCAAAGGTCACCGCGCGCGACGGTGCCTGAGGCCGGTTTGTGTTTTACAAAGTATGTTTCGCAGTAGAGGGATGTGTTGTATTTAGATTAATTTATAAATAATTAAAATATTTGACGATGTTACTTGATTTGGAGAAGTATTTATCACGTGAGTTGATCAGCTAACAAGTTTGTATCAGGAGTGTCAGGTATTTCGTTGAATGAGATGAAAAATAATTTATTTATTTAAAACAAAATAACAGACTAGGTTAAGTCAGGTTGCAAATTAATAAATTAATGAAATCTCACACTTGAAATTAAAAATCATTGCCGCAAAAGATAACAGAAAAATCGTGTTTTTTGGGTACATCCTATTAATGCTAGGAGAGAGGAAGTGGGATTATTTTATACTTTATTTAATGACTTACGAAATGATGAAAATAAGGTTTTTTGTTGTTTCCGTAATTGTGTCTTAAAGTGACTGATGTGACTGATCGAACTCTGCCGCACGAATAAAATCGTATAATGTGAAAACGTGCATTTGGTCACGTACACCACTAAGCTTATCGCACCGTCCGGCTGCCGTATACTGTAGTGGCAGTAGACGGCAGCTGCGCGGCACGGCACCGGCATTTTGCCGTGACCGTATAATATGAAAGCGTATATGCTCTTCTTCGCGCCTCTAACAAAATGTTGCCGTACGGTCAAAACCGTGTAGTGTGAAACGAGCCTTAGACGCTGGTAGGTAATAAGTAAAGACCGGATTTAATTAATATTGCAATATAGATAAATCAGATCTGATTAAATATTTAGCTATGTTTAATGTACAAACTAAAAATATTCTGCCTATATAATTTTATAATGCAATTTTTTTCAATTTTCGACGGTTTTGCAATTTTCCCACGTTTTTAAATCAGGCGTTTATCGTTCATCTGGAATTTTCTAAAAGCTTGGAGAGTCCAGCAAGCGATGCGTCTATATATATGGTGGTAATTAAATTCAACGTAATAGTACAGCGTGAGCGTTTACCTGTCGGCACCTTTGTACCTATTTCTTTTTTCAGTTTGACCGCACAGTGAACGTATTTGACATAATTTCAAAAATAAAATCAACTTTAAAAATAAAATTTCGAATTGGATTGCTCCTGCAATAAAAATAAAGAAATATGTTCATCAGATGGTGAGGTTATATATATATCGTCTCATATGTAACAAATCTGTGTCTACTAAAACAAAATAAATACATAGTAAAATAATTAAATAGGCATTATATATTTTCTTTAATAATATTTGTTTAATTTTGTACTCATTTTCCTAGTATTCTTACGTTTTTCCCCGGTTTTTCACATTTGCTGGGAAAAATCTTGGGAAAATCAAAAAATGACCTCTTTAAAGTACCCCCTTAGGAAAATTTCCTTATTGAAACATTGCTATCATTAAAGTTGGAGCAAAATGGCAGTATAAATATTCTGGTTTAGCATCCAATCAATTTTGTTTGCTTTTATTCGCCCTTTACTGATATACAATATGTTTTATAACTAGGAGTAGCAAATTCAAGAATGAAACAAAAATTACTTTTTCTGATTTATTTGAATTTTTACGTTAAAACGGTCCACTCAAGCCCTCAATATGTATTCTAGAAAAAGTTTATTTCAATATATTAATAACCATATCAAAAATACGAAGTTTCGCCGTCGTGCTTAATAAAAACATACAAGACATTTAAAAAAAAAAATCTAGATTGGCTCAGAACAGAATTTTCATTCCCACCAAAAAAAAAATACATCACAAAAACTAGTCTCTTGAACAATTTTTGTAAGTAAGGATACTTTCAACGACTTTTAGTGATTGTGCAAAAAGAAGCAAGATGAAAAAAGTTCAAATGTTAGTAAAATCATACATGTCTCCCGAGCTTACTTACGCATTATCGACTAAATATCAAAAGTGTGGTAAACGAAGCAGTGCTAAGCTTTTAATTCAGGGAAATACAACTGCAAAAAGGGCAGTTAAACTGGTAAATGCCTACAAAAATGAGTGCAATTTGAAACCTATAAAATACAACGATGACAAAGCTTTTGCATTTTTAATTGAAAACAAATTATCAAAACAACAATATATAAATACTCACTTAGTTAAAAACAAAGAAATTGTCACATTTACTCTTCATATGAAAAAATAATGATAGCAAAACAAAAGTGCTACCTAAATAGAGTACATATATCTGAAACAACTTGCAAAATCCCTGTTCGAAATCTTTCAGACCATACAACTTTGTTTCGTCAATATAAAAAATTAATATTAATATAACTCATTTTGTGATGATGTATAAGTGGGGATGTGATGGGAGCAGTGGACAGTCCAAATACAAAGTAAAGTTTTTAGTTATCAACGACAATTATAGACTCAGAATCTAGTATATTTATGTTTTCTTTGGTTGCTCTGAAATTACAATGTTTAATAAATGAAAAGACATTTGTCATTTGGGAAAATCCATGAACTTCGTCAACTCGATTTTGTTGACCCATGCAATTTATATTTATGAAGTAAACTGTCGAAAATACTCAAAAAGAAGTAACTATTATTGATGAACAATAAATAGCACCATACCTTTGAGAAAAAACTCAAGGGAAACATTAAATGAGGATTAAATGAGGATACTGCACATGATTCTTATTTCATCAGAACTCGTAATATCGTTTATTCGGAAATTTCCCAACAAAAATTTTTTGTGAATTTTCAGAAGAAGCAAAATCTTTATTGGTCTAAAATAATTCTAATGCAAATGATGAAAGTGACAATTAATAATGACCAATTTATTATTTATACTATTTAAATTAAATATTTTAAATATGTTGTTAAAATAAAGTTAATAAACAATTATAAATTCTATATAACATGGATATTTCATTAAAATTAAAATAATATATTACTATTAAATCCGTAGGTAAGAAAACAAATTCAAAACTAAAGCAAAATTTGGGTTCAGCAACCTTTAAAACATATAAGCTGATGTAAAGTATACAGAAGTACAGTTTTAAAAAAAATACCCCTACACCCCCCATTATAAAAAAGGTCCCACTGAGTCACAAAAAAGCCTGGAGCTTAACCCCCCTCCTCCCCCCCCCCTTGTTCGAATGTCTAGTTGCGCCTATGGTCCGGGAATACGTATGCCTTATATCACGAGGTTTCTTATGCAGATATTACGTTAAAACGACGCCCGAGCAATGGTATTCTCTTCACAAAACACGAACAAAAGTATTGTAATATTTCGTAACGTTTCGAAGGCGGGGAAAACTCGTATAGTGCACCCGGTGTACGTACGTATAATATAATATTATTATTGTCGGCAAAACGGAAGTCGGCGAGACGGAATTGTACCTATATAATGAGGACAAGAGCGGGAATATGGAAAAAAAAAAAAAAGACTAAAAAAAATGAAGAGGCGCGCTCTGCGATTGAACGGAACGGTACTCTAAGTTTTTTTTTTCATCCCCCATAATAATAATAATAATAATAATAATAACACGGTACGAAATTCATAAATATAATACGGCGTGTGCGCGACGTACACCACTCCTCGCCGTATTATATAATATTATCCGTGTACATTATACGATAATAACAATCGCGGAGACTCGCGGGCACGTGTCCCGACGTTCCGTCGCCGTCACGTTGGTCCGCGCGCGCAAAAACGTGCGGCCGTCGGCGACGGCATATGGTCGGCCGCGGCGGCGGCGGACATCATAGAGCGATTTCACGTCCCGCGCATATAGATATATATGTATAAAGCTGCACAGCTAGTGATGAGCTAGCGAGCTAGCGAGCCGACCAGCGATACACGGGTAGGGAAGGGAGGTGGCGGGGTACGGAGAATCTCGCGAAATTTAATTAAATCCGCGAAAACCGCTTTGCAGGCGCTTTGATTACGCGCGCGACGGAAAATCCCCCTTTTTTTTTTTTTTTGTCTTTTTTTTTTTATGTATTGGGAACGACGGGCGGCAGCAACGGGGTAACGGGAGGCGACGGCGCACGACAGCCGCGACCCTTGCGAGAGCGCGATGCTCGCCGACGGCGGCAGCGAACATGCGCACAATCCCCGGCTACTCTCGCCCGCCACACCGCCGCACCCGGACCCGGAACGGCCCGGGAATCCGAGACGGGAGCGCGTACACGCGCGCCATACCCGCTCGCGCGACACATTATGGATTTGCTCCCCGTCCGCCCGTCGTGGCGCACCGCCACCACCGCCACGCGCCGCCGCCGCCGTTCGACCGTATAATAATTGATCGAACGCCTACCGCCGCCCCGTACGTCGACACCATCTCCGCCGTGCCGTGACGCGCCGCCGCCGTTGCCGTCGTCATCGTCGTCGCCGTCGCTGCCACCGCCGTAACACAGTCGAATATTTTCACGACGCGTACGGGTCCGCGACACGCCGTATTAAGGACGTTTTGGGCGCAAAAAAAATCCGATAATTTCGAACTGTACGACACAATCATATTGCGATATTATTGTACAATAACTATTATTGTTGTTCGTCGTTCGGCGTCGGTCGGCTAGGATTAGCACCACCTACGCGGGCCGAGACCGCGGCAATGGATTCTAACCGCCGCGGGCGGCACCGTACTTGCACAGCGTTTTCCGCGTCTGACGAACGCCGACCGGCATCGGCCTCGGCACCACTATCCGCAGCCACGACAGAATCCGCCGCCACCGCTGACCGCGTCTCCGGCACCATCGTCTGACAAGTGGGTGAGTGACGGCGACGATATTATTTATACACGCGCGCGCTCGGGAATGGGAGGGGCGGTGTACCTAGCCGACCGGTACATAAATTATTATGACCGGTAGTCGTTAACGCAGTACAATGCATAACTTCTATTACTATTCACGGTACCGATAGTTTTATTTTTCAGCGTCTCTTCTCCGACATAACATTATTCATAATAATAATAATAATAAAATATTCAACACCGACGATTTTCCGCATTATTAGATTTCAATGCGAAATGTATTATAATTTTAATTATTTTCATAGGATTTCTGAATAACCACACGTTATAAACACTTCAAATTATTTTAATATTAGATTCGTATACAGAAACGAAATACAAGCAAATACTTCAAAAATCAAAAATGTTTTAATATATTATTTACATAAAAAAATTATTTTTTGTCGTTTATTTTATTTTTTTAATGATGTTACGCAGTTAAAATGTATTTTTCTAAGGAAAATGAATCCGGTGAAGATAGCGATTATATAAAAATATCTATCTCACTGTCATTTTTTAAGCTAATGTAGTTATTTGCACACGTTATAAACCTATACTACCGTTTTTACAATTTCTGTCCGTCTGGACTGACTCAGGAACTCAACGGGACTTTCACCGCAAGATACAGATTATTTGCTCACGTATAATTTTGGCTACTTTTGTTTTATCCGCCTGTCCGTCCGACAATCATTTGTATTGTTTCCATTATACGTATCAACATTTTAAAATTTAAAAAAAAAAAAATTCGCCAATAAAAATTAGTTTTGGACGCCATAAATACACAATCTCAATATGCTCGAAAATATAATTAAATGCGAAATAAATACAAAATATATTACGCTATTCGTTAGGAACACAATAATATTTTAATTTTTCCACCAGAATCAATAATGTCCGAAAAAATGTGTTTGAAAAACTGCGAATGCCAAATAGTGAATGAAAACGTACAGCCATGCAGGTTTATTATAATGCGTTGTCACAAGAATTTTATAGCCTTGTAAGTTGTAAGTTTCTTACAATTTCAAAAATAATACTTTTACAAGTCGTGGGTTTTTGTAGTTTTTCAAAAATTTCATTCAAACAGTTTTCCTGAAATACCGTCAGAGTATCATACAATAACTACAATCTACGATAAGCGAATCTTGGTGAGCGCTATTTTACACGCGTAAAATGTGTTTTTTTTTTTTAGTAAAATGTATTTTTAATGTTATCTATCATAATTCCTATTTGAAAACACATTTTCGGTTAGTAAGTGGGCTCCAAATCGTTCACATCGTACATTGAAAGATGTTGATTTTTTGACTAGTGGTACTTTGAATAATTTTTTCATATTTCCAAATAGTTTTGCAAACAAATAACAAGAAAATAAACTAACAACGACAACAATTTACTTTATATCGGTTATGCCCATTTTTACCAGTTTACCGATAAATGTTTTATGCAGCGGCTTTTAATACGTATTATTATTATTAGTTATATTAATATTAAGTTATATATAAATTAAGTAACTAAATATAGTAAACAGTGGCGTACCTGTGGGGAGGGCGAAGGGAGCATTGCTCTCCCCCGTGGGTCGTATAATTTTATGTGACAATATGTGTGTATTGTTATATTTTAGGAAGTAGTTTTGTTACAGTATACGATAGTGTAGTATTGTATTGTATTGTTATAGAATTCACAGCTATTTATTATAAAACAAAATATTTCTATAATACAAAATTGGTGGTGGATAATTTGACTCCAGTGACGAAGCTCTGTTGTTTACGGATATGAGAAGGATTTTTTCACTGTAAAATAAATAGTTAAATAATTCCCGTCTACAATTGACGGGAAATATAATTTCAAGTAAAATATATGTTTATTAATACAGAAGCCTTATATTAGGTATATACGGTTACCTTTATGTATAGTCCTAACTGCTGAGTATTTAATTACAATTGAATAATTAACCATATTGAACATGTGTTTTTTATATTCTGAGCATTTACTAAATAATGTGTTTTTTATTTTTCTCGGTCAAAATTTTTAGTAAGTAAAATACTTTAATTATTTCACGCAGTATCTACATTAAAAAAATGCGAGATTACCGACCGGGTCGCAGTACTCGAAAAGTTTTTAATTCTCACTTATTCGCCTACAGACCCTTTTTATGATTTTCACGGAAAATATTTTCTTACGTATAGTAACAAGCCTCTAAAACTTTCACAATGTATACCAACCTACCTTTAAAATATACGGATTTCCTCTGTAAATACTATTTGCTCGTGACATATTTTTTAAAAATAAAAACGAAAAACGATTCAAAGCGAAGTTCGTCTATACATGATTTTTAAGGCCGCAATATTTAAGTTTTTTTTTCAAAATTTGATCTTAAATAATGCTAAAAAAAAAATTACATTGCAATCAATAATTTTAGATTTTGAGCAAATCGAGGAATGGAGGACATATAATCGAGGAATATGTATATTTTTTTTTTAATTGCAAACGATGTTCAAGTGTAGTACCGTTTCTGAAAGAGATATTTTTTCTGGGTGGTAATTTGAGAATGTCATTTTTTGAATTTCTAAGCGGTTTTCATAATAATTGAGAAAAATTGTGGAAAACGTAGGAAAACAGGAAAATTTACGAAATGCATTATTTTTGATTTTGCTTTTTATCATGATACAGTTAAAAATATTCACAGAGATTTGCAATTTGGACGTAAAACTTACATTGGCCGTTTATAGACGTGGTCATATTTTTAAATCGTGTGCAATTTTTGAGCTATTTATAGACATTTAAATTTTGTGAATTGGTACGCAATTTTATACTTTATGGATAAAATTGTTAGACCAAACAAAAATATTTGAAAATTTGACAGGAGATTCATTATAGGCTATACTTAGATCTAATGATAAAAAAAAAAAAACATTTAAAGTAAATTTACAATCAAATGTTGTATATATTAAATTCACCTCTACATCTATATATCCTAGCTTCCCAGCTTCTCACCTAACACATTGGCCCACTCATTATGCGAAGTATAGGTTATCAGTTATTATCGGTTGCGCTGCGAGTTGGTGTGCTGTAAATATTAACTGTTTTTTATTATGAAAACCACTTGAAAAATCAAAAAAATGATCTCTCAGTGCACCAACTAGATAAAATTTACTTTTGGAAAAGGTGGCTGTACTTGATACATCGGGGTAACATTTCTGATAAAAAAGCTTCTCACAGACACAAAAAATAAAAATAATAAAACCGTTATTAACGTTTGTTAAGACAAATTGGATAATTACTTCTCAATACACTGACTAGATCCAAAATTATACAAAAAAGCTCACTTGTCATTTTTGGTGCATTTTTTTTGTTAAAACATTAATAATTGTCCACAGACCCAAAATTCGAAAAAAATCTCGCACATCACCATAAAACCCAATATATTCCTCGCGGCGCCCAGTATCTAAAAAAAAAAAACCTGATAACAAATAATATTTAAAACCAGCACGCAAAAGTAGTTAACATACTACTATCATTACATATCGTTCGAGTTTGTGAAATTCATAGTCGGTTTTTGAATATGTAACTGTACAATTAATGTACGACTTAATAATAAATGATTGGGTTCATCGTCAACCGAGGAATTATATTACTCATGCCACAGCTATATTGATCAAGCAGACTTGTCGTTAATAACTTTAATATATCAAAATAATATACTAGGTACCTATGACGAATTATTCGAATTTATCGCAGGACCCACGAGACCTTTATTATGATAATATTACTTTCATTTGGGTCGTAAACTTCAATTACATTCTTCTGGAACATTTCCTATGCATTTATTATGTACATAGGTATATTCGTAACTATTGTTACCTAAAAATATTGTAATTAGATTTGTGATCAATTCACAGCAAAGTCATTAGTACTAAGTTAGAGTTTGGTTGTTTAGTTAGAAACTTTTTCGAAATCTGTATTTCGGTATTTACGACATGTTTGATTTTGTAGGTTCTTTTTTCTCCCATTTTGAACGCATTCTATGGGTTTTTGTCTTTTTTATAATTTCAAATTGTATAATTATCGTTTGGAAGTCCGATTATAGTCCCTCGAGTGGAATACCTATAGGCACCTACTTTTATTGTTAATGAATATATAATTTTTCCTCATCGGCTTGACGAAAAACTCCCGAGTGTAAAGAATAATATGATAGCATTATTTTAATAAGGTTTTCGTGAGCTGAAATTGCATATAGACACGTGGGATTCGATATTGCACATTATGTAAATATAATATATGGGTAGTGGGTGTATACACATGTATTTTTGTTGTTTTTCTCTGGAATATAATATTATAATAACAACGACGTGCTGTTGGTTTCACGGTTGCCGGACACACGTCACCGTCACATTGCAGACTTTTATTAAAACCGTTTAACCGCGAGTACAATTGATACATATTGGTATACGGCGCGTGGTGTGTAGGGTGCCCATCTACCTACCAGAGAATACCTACGCTAACCTACCTACCGGACGTTTGATGAAAAAAAAAAAATACTATTCGATTCGTTATAAAACAACGGTGGCGGCATAAAGGATAGGAGAGCAGGACAGAAAAAAAAAAAAGCAGCGCCACCCGGGGGAAGCGAAAACCCGGTATAATATATTACACAGAGTCGTATAATAATAATATGCAATTGCGCGGACGATTCACACGCCGCTGGGGGAGAGTTGCACACAAGAGGAGAGAGCTCGGTGTAACAACGGCGGCGCGGCGTCCGCGTCCGCGCATGTGTAACAAAACGCCGAAATGCCTACCCCTCGACGCCGACGACGACGACGACGGTTTCCGAAACGTAAATGGCACGTCAAATCGTTGATAGCGGTTAGCCCGATACGACTACTCTGCTCTGCTGTTTTTTATTTCCCGTCGTTATTTTATTTTATTTGTTTTTTTTTTTTTTTTTTGTTATAAATATTAGTTATTTCCTTCTACCACCCCTAGTTCAATAAAGCGTACTCGTTTCTACTCATTTGAACCGAAAAAAACGACAATCTCTCCCCCGGACATTTCGCCGCCGTCCCAGAACAACAAGAACAAGAGAAGGTCAGTACATATTATAATATTATTATTAGGTATATCTTTATTTATCATGCGCAACCAACCGACAGCACAATACTATTATCTCCGTTCGATTATAATTTCCACGTAATTTGTGTTTTACATTTTATTCATATTCACATGACAATATCATTCACGATTAACAATTAACGACAATAATGTATTATATATTGTCATGTATCGGTTAGTTGTTATAGGTATTGGTCTTTTGTTTATTGCTTTTTTCTTTTTTTCCTCAATTCGATTTTTCGAATACAATATTATCTTAAACCAGGCGACACATTTTTTTCTGTGAACTTGTGCGTGTATTGTTAATAAATACAACGAATTAACGAATTCTTATACATTTTCAAATATTGCCCGCAGCTTATATATACCATTTTTTAATGGCATCTATACTACGAAATCACGTTTGTTTTTAACCTTTTTTTCTCTCTATTTTTTTATACATAATATTAAATTTTTCCGTGTAATTCAAATTTAGATATTAAATGACAAATTTATAATGAGAAATCCACAAAAGAGCGTTTAAAAACGTCAAAAGTTCCCCGAAAAAAGCAAAAATGATAGAAGGATTTCAAAATCCTTTTCTATAACGACTTTAAATTAATAAATAGCATTTCCATTAATTAATAACATGACCAATTCATCAACACAACGTAATTTTGTCTATAATTTAATACGTACAATTTTATTTAAAAAAAAAAATTATACTTTGTGTTAATTATTTGTGTAGTGTTAGAAAATTGTATTTAATAATTTAGAGTCGTTAGAGAAAGACTTTTAAATCCTTCTACCATTTTTGCATTTTTAAATATTTTTGTGGATTTGAAGTGCAATAAGTCCCGAGTCATCAATATTATTTATTTATTTATTTTGAATCATTCGGTACACCTACTTTACAAAAGTTCGTCTAAATTGGTTTTAATTAAAATCATATCTATACAATAATATTGTTAGAAAAAGTAATTGTAGCTATAAATCGTACACATAAAATATGCGAGTATATTACCTATAAAATATACATACATTACATATATTTGTTTATAAACATTTTCAAATTAATTAACTATTCGTTTTAGATATTTTAAACAAAAATAATACTGTTAATATCAATTCTGTTGCATTATATTTTTATTTCACAAAGTAACTCAGATTTTTATTTTTTGTCGTATTTTATATTAACGGTGTCTTTCAAAATTCAGCGATGTTTAATCAAAAATATACGGTTAACATATATCCCTACTCTAAATATTTAAATCATAATTTATTGTTGGATCTTGTTCCAAAATTCCTTATAGCCAACTGAATTTCCATTGAATCCAGCATTCAATTTTATTTTTCTATTTGTCTGATTGAAATTTCTTATCAGATCTCATTTACTGTGATTCCATATATTTATGCAAAGACATAATATATCCATTATACTTGATAATATAGGAAAAATGTTGCAATCATGTTATTTATTATGCAACGCAATCTAAATAGTTTGGTTTCCAATAGTTCCATTGTTAATTAGAAGGCATGGCAATACTTGTATTATAAACGTTAGAATATTGAATAGCGTATAATTCATTTGCCTATGCATTTCGTTTTGTTTTAAACAAATTTTCATAAGTTAGTGTTTATATATGTTTCATTAACGGTATTGGATTTTTTTTTTATTGCAATCTATAAACATGGTGTTCCAAATTGTATATTATTACAATTTTGAGAGTTGCCGTAGTAAGTACTCATACACATACTCTCAAACTTTGTAACAAATTATTTAATTTGGAAGACCCTGTGTATACATATAAATAAGCTTTTTTCTTTCTTTTTTCATTGAAAACTGTATATTTTTTAGTCTTTAAGTATAAATAAGTGTGCGTAGGTAAAAAGGTGTGTTTTTTTCCACTTCTGTCTAAGTATTGCTATATAACTCTAACGCGTTCAGACAAAACAATCGGGAACGGGGACGCCAGATGTGCGAGGAGGTCCTTGTTGTTAAAATAATAATATACGAAAGAAGACACGATCGTTATTCTTAGCCCGCCGCCGCAAGATATGGCAGATAATAACATACCGGACTGTCTTGATCGCGCGCGTTGGGACTAATATAATATAATACCTAACTATAAAACACAATTTATTAAATTCCCACTCTTTTAAATAGGCAGTCTTACCTCACCAAACTTCTCTACTCGTTAGAGACTTTTAGAAAATAAAATCGTAAAACATGCGGTTTTATTAGCCTTTTAGCGTCTTACCACCGTAGTATGTCAAGGTGGGAGGGGGAGGGGGATACGTTCTATAAAGTTGACCAAAAGATAAAATTAAATTACCGAAAAACAAACTTCTATCCGCTCGAAAGAGATAGTAAATATTTAGTATATATATTTACCAAATAACTATTTTACCAAAAACATATTAAAATTCGTTTTAAATTTATAATGCAATGTTTTACTACTACAACAGTAGTAAGCAAAATACTAGTGCTACTAGTACTACTACTACTAAATACTAGTAGAGTGTTAAGAAGAAAATTAAACATCACATGTCGTAATATATTTATTTATTCATTTTTTTTTTTTTTTTTTTTTTTTGAAAGAACTTTGTTTACATTTTTAGTTAATTCAGCAGGTTGGAGGAAAAAGACGGACCTAGTATTGGAAATTTAGAATATTATTCAAAAAAATAGCAATATTATAGTATAATAAACGTATATTAGCTTAAACGTATTACTAGCTATTAAGCTAAAAAAAAAAGTAAATTATTTAGAATCATTTATTCGCAAGTGTGCCTTACATGCGTAGATAGTATTTATGGTTTTTTGTTTCTAATACAGTAAATATAGTATTTTTGTTTAGTTAAAATTATACAATTGTTAAATTGTATTATAAATAGATACTATGTTGTACTTGCTATTTTATTAGCATAAATAGAAGAAGCTTGAGAGGTTTGGACCCCAAAATTCAATCAACCTTCCCAAATCAATTAATAGTAAATACTAATTATATAAAATTAATAGGCTTAAGTCTCCTCCAAAATACTTACCCTATTTGTGTCTATATAATACACCGATAGTTTTAAAACGGTCAGTCAACTGCAGTGACAGGTACTTATTGGTTATCGCAACTACCTAATCAAATAACTGTTAGGTAATAAACAATTCGGTTATCGAGACTACAGGCAGTAACGACACGATAAAGATATTGATGGTGGTTATTATTAGGATCAGTTATCGATACTTATCGTTATTTCACCTGTAATCCATTTTCTTTTTACCTTGTTACCTATATCCAACGTGGTTTTGCACAACTAATGTAGACTTATTTTTGATGAAAATTGTCTGAATAAGTGCAGCGAAAACAAAAAGAAAGATAAGTATTCGCCAGATAGAGAATTTGATCCAATCGAAAAATGACAAGTGATTTTTTTTGTTGCATTTTTAATTTTGTTGATAAGGAAAATTTTTGGTTTTCTAAGCAGTTTTCTGAATAATTATACTAAACCATGAAAAAAAAACGCAGAGAGAGCGGAAAAGTTTACAGAAATAATAATTTCATTATTTTCAATTTTGTTTTTTTGTTGTAATTTACTTAAAAATACTCGTAGAGATTTGGAATTTTGACAGAAAACTTATACTGGCCTTTTCTAAACGTGGTCATGTTTTTACAATTTTCTGAAAATATTTTTGAGATATTCACAGGCATTATCTTGTTGTTAAGTAGTTTTTCTTTAGTAGGTGTATAAAATTGTTTGATCAAACAGAAATACTTGAAAATATAATAGGAGGTTCATTATATATTGTACTTTTACTTAATAGTTAAAAAAAAACAGTAGAGTATAATGTAGTAGTTTATTTTATATAAGCATTTTAAATTCACATTTTGACGAAAAACCTAATAATTTCGGCATTTCAAAATATTTATAACCGAACTGCTTCGCTCATAATCGGTTTTCATCAGCAATAGTTAATCGTTGCTTACAGATATAAATACAACATTTGTATCTATCCTATTTTCTCAACTACCCAACCAACAACAGTAGAACAGTGCAAGCTCACCATCAACAGTATCGTCTTATTTTTTTGTCTCCAAGTATGACTCTAATTATGAATTATTTAATACGATCTTTTGTCACCTATTCTTTAGACACTAATCGATAATAAAATAAAATTAAAAACAATCATTGATCATATGTTTCGTATTCATAACTTTAAATTGATTTTAAATTCTGATTGTAGCAAAGAAGTGGTTTGTTTTATAAAAGTATTCTTGTTAGGGGAAGGTAAAATCTATATTTTCAGAAGATTGATAATCCAAATTTTCGGAATTAAAAATCTTAAATCCGGATTTATGGAATCCAAAGTCAAAAATGTATTTGAAATCTGTGTTAAAGATTTTTTGAAATTTGATTTTGCATTGTTTTAGATATTTTGTATTCAACTCCAGCACTAATCATAAATATAATTTTTCAGTACATGTATAAGAAGATTCATATCAATTTATGAATTGTCTGATAATAATTTATAATAATCACTCTAATTATAAGTATCAAATGAAGACAAATTATAGGTAAAAGAAGGTGGCTGGCAAAATTATTATTTTTAATTCTATAAAATCATTTAATATACGTCTTAGATTACGAGCTTAGCAAGAGATCTGTACAAAAATATGAATAACAGATTTAAAAAAAAAATCTAATTTTGAAATCTAAAACTAGAATTTTTGGAATTTGTTCCAAAAATCTGTGTTTTTGGATAATCCGGATTTATATCACATTACTAATAATTCTTCTAAGTATATTAGTGTTGTTTTTTTTGTACTCTCGTAAAATAAATTTCAGTAAGTAAAAATAATCCAATTTGTTCACTCAATATCATAAGAGATTGTTTTATTTTCGTTTATTTCTGAGTTACCTTGACTTCAAGTAAAAAATATACTATACCCTGAAACCAGTTTACTGAGTTTCACTCAGAATCGGTTTTTTATTGCAATGGTTTATCGCTTCTATGTGTACATGACTAAATTAATATTATCCTATACCGGATTAATTTACAATAGATTTTACCTATGTAATTATTTTTAATCGAAAACGTTTGTTGATTGATTTGAAAATAATAGGTACCTTTAGAATATGAACCATAATTTTGTACACTAAAGTTATCATAATTGTATAATATAATTTAATATAATTTCATTTTTTAGTACCGACAACATTGGTAGGCAGAATATTTCTTTCTGTACTTATACATAATCTCAAAAATAAAAGGAACATTTATATATACATATAAGAAAACGCTTGAAGAATAAAATCATAAAAAATAAAAATAACCCTAAAAAAAAAAAAAAGAATTTGTAGTGGAAACTGCAGTCTTTGTTCTTCATAAGATTATTATAAATTCTGCTGCTGCTCAACTCGTAATTTCTTTTTTTTCTTTTTGTATACCGCCATTATACCTATATATATATATATATAATGCCATTGTACTTATATAATATATATATATATATATATATATTATTTTACAGTGCATTCATTCGAGTATATTGGGTATTTATTTCCTTTTAGGAATTTTTTTGCCCGGAAGTAATTTAAACGTCATCATATCCGTACATTTTATTTCGTGTATGTTTAACGCTTCTTGATATTTTTTTCGAATAAATTTTAATAGAATAGGTACAGGAATTTCATTCTAAACATGTGTACATCGAGTAAAAAAAAAATCTAGGTAACTTGAGATTTTGGACAAATAATAATACAAGGTGTCCCACGAAGCTATACCCATTCCAATATTTCCTGAGATAATAAAGATAATCAAATTTAGTTTTTTTAATTTTGTATTAATCGCAGGGATAAGGACTATAAATATTTACGTTTGAATTAAATTTGTAAATTTTGGTAAAATAACTAAAAAAAAAAGAGGGACATACTTTGCACGATGGGTGGATCACTGTTGTTGATGAAAAGTTGAACAAATAGAATTAGAAAGCAATTTAATATTCCTTGTTACTTTTGGTACTGCTACTATTGTTTTTTCCTTGTTACTTACCTAAGGTGGTTTTGGAAAAAAAAAAACGGAACTCTGGTTGAAACTTGCGATTTCTTGGATGATAACAAGTACCTACCACTACTAGATTACGACAGGCAATGTATATTTATTTAACATAACATATAATACCCGCATATTATCAGAATTTCAAAAAACTATAATTTCCAAATGAAGTCAATCCGCTCAATTCTGACTTCACCATCGTTCTTAAATGAGCAATATATATTGCATAACAAAAAAATTAAAAAAATTGCATGGATCAGTAACTTGATTTGTACCACAAAATGTTTTACTCGAACTATTTTCGTCAAAATTTGATATTAAAATTCCTCTGTATACATATTAATATTAATAAATCAAAGAGTACGAATTTTAATGAACCATCTGTTATATTTTCAAGCATTTTTGTCCAGTCCAACAATTACCTACTGAATAAAAATTATGTACACAATTCGCAAAATTAAAATGTCTATAAAACGCTCAAAAATGGCTAATGTAATCTAATAAGTAATCTAAAATGTTTTCAATATTTCACCACTCCCAGAAAAGGTAAATATAAGGTTTGTGTTCAAATCTCAAGTCCATTCGAATATTTTTAACTGAATTAAAACAAAAAATAATATTGAAAATAATAAAAAATTTATTTTCGTAAATTTTCCCATTTTTCTTACATTTTATCCCAGGTTTTCCGAAAACGGTATTATAAATTCGTGAACATCTCAAAATCGTATCATTTGTTGGATACCATAAAATGTTACACGTGTTGCAATACAATTTACGATAACAATATTAATATTATTATAATGAAGACTATAAATAATCGCATTAAATTAACAGTAGTTTAAAGAAATTATCAACTACGTTTATAGATATTTAAAGTATTATTGTATCAGATAGCAAACGTTCTTGAATTCCATTTTTTCCAAAAACTATCTAAAACAGATAGTTCAAAAGTTATTCTTAACACGAACCCACCGATTTATTAACATTATGATTATATTGATCTAATAGATTATTAGACATTTTCAACTTTGGTTATTTTACAATCTTTACATTTTCTGGCAGTGCCTATGCCTATACTAAATGTTTTTTTCAACATAACATTGCTCGTTTGTTTTGTATCTAAATTCGTTTCAACAATGTTTTTATTATTATCTTTACACGCCGTATTGATGAGTCGTTTTATCTTTCCAGACAGATGTGCAGCTAATTTTACATTTTTTTTTCTCTTGTATACTATTATATATGTGTATTATAATATATACCAGGAATAATGTTCTCTATGAATATATCTTTAAAGTACAAATAGGTACAAATGTCACCGCTACGTATATTGTATTAATAGTCCAAAATGCTTCTCATAAAATATATTATGCTGCACTACTACACTGTGTCTCGGTTTCCACATTTCGGATTTTCCAAGTGTTCGGAACTGGGAAATCATTATCACATTTTTTATTTGGAATAACTACTTACTGAAATATTTACGTGGTTAGCAAACACCTGTCAAGGTATATGAGTTGAAAATAAACAAGTAAATTGATAATAAATAACGAACACTATAATATTATTCTGAGTATATGTTGTGATAAGATACCTAACTGTTGAGTATCGATAATAAACACTATAGACTCACGTTTAAGTTTAAATGACTTTTAGATTCTCAAAAAAATAACAATATTTTTTATTTCATTTAATTTGTGAAGTTGTTTTCATAATTATCCAGGAAAAAAATGCAGGAAATACGGAAAAGATTCCGCTATTAATAGTTGAATTATTTTCTTTTTTGGTTTCTTCGTTATAAATTTGTTAGAAAAAATTATAGATAAATAGCTTTTCTAGACATAGTCAAATTTTCTGAACATTTTAACAATTTTTAAACTATTTCTAGGCACTTTTTCGTTTTTATTTGATAGATATATGGGTAAAATAGTTCAGCCAAACATAAATACTTAAAAATTAAAAACGATGTTCGTTATAAGTTATAATTAATGTTAAAAATTAAAATTAAAAACGTTTAGTATAGTATAGTTTTTTTTAATAAGAGTTTTAGATCAAATTTTAATAAAATTATGGTATTTCAAAATATATAGGTATAATATTGAACATCGCTTGGAATCGTGTTCGGTTATGAATAGCTTATCGTCGTTTACAGATATTAACCTTTTCAACTTCCCACCTACAACAGTGGTGCACCAATCAGCAGCATCAGTTTTCTAAATTATTATATTGTTAATGTACAAAACCAATTGATCACTTTGATCATTTTAATCAAATATATTCTTTTTGTGAGCTAATTTTTGGATTTTAATAATATCTTTTAATAGGAAATTCAAGTTTTTCTAAATCAATATTATTTTTTTTTTTTAAAAAACATTCAGTTTTCCGTTAAAATTAGATTGATAATTCATTATAATAATGCGGCGTAAGCATTTAATCATAGGAATTTAAAAAAAACTTTTAACCGTTTTAAAACATTTTGAAAAAATAAAATTAAAATAAACAAAAATAGCGTGATAAATGGATCATCCAAATGTTATAAATGTTACCTTCAAAAATGTTTTTTTTTTTTTGTCTAGAGACCTAATAAAATGTCATTAAACTCGTGATGCGTACACGGTGAGAAGGACTAAAAGGAAACAGGTAAGTTTGGCAGTTTTACTTTATTGAATCAGAAACTGATTCTTTGTTCAATTTCACGTCGTTTTGCACGTAAAAAAAATAATAATAAAAATAAAAGTTTTCGATTGATATGACTAAATCTTTATTTTCTTCATTATTCAATTCCTACTTATATGAAATAAAAACGCTAATATTAAAAAAAAAAAAGACTTCTCAGACGTATTTACATCAAGCATAATATGACCACCTGCGCCCCGTTATTTTCTCTTTTTAATATGAACTCTCGCTATCTATACCAAGAATGCTTAGAAATTGTGTGAAACTGTAGAGAGTATGAAATACATATCCTTAAGGTAAATATAAAATGTGTCAACAAAAATATTCGATACACTATAAAATCAAAAGAACTAAAAGTAAAAGTGTATAACACAGCATTGAACTTACGAAATAAACTAACTAATGGAATTGATTCTAGGTTGAGGAAATTATTTTTGATCTAAAAATATTCTTTATTAGTTAATATTATAATATTTCCCTCGGACCTCCCTTGTTAAGTACTTACGCCTTCCAAGTTAATTATATAAACTAACAATACATTCACACAAAACTGAAATGTTTTGTAAGTCATCGAAAGATGATTGTTCAGTAATCTTTACCAATCAGCTATTATTTAAACATTAGTGCCATCAATGGCGCATACAGAATTTTTTTTTTTGAGGGGAGAGGGGGGGTGGTTGAAAAAATGTAACAAATGAAATTTTTTTGAATTTTGTATGTATTATAATTATACATTAAACATTTTATTACTATTTTACAGCGCTAATTATATAAAAGTTGAAATATTTATCTTATTTATTAATATTATTCAAATCAATCCTGTGCGAAATAAATATTTCGTTCAATTGATCTAAAACGATATCTATAAAAGGTATAAATACAGAGAAATTATAAAATATTCTGGACCATCTGATTTAGATTGGCAAACTACAGTAATATCAATATTTTCACAGACAGTTATTACAGATAAAAATAATTGTTGAAACTCTACATTACAATTTTCTCTTATATCCTGAATATTATTTTGAACATTAACAGCTTCTAATGCAGTTTTTAAATCAAGATTTACTGTTTATCATACAAATCAACAAACATGCCTAATTAACCAATAGCAGCCAATTTACTATTATTATTTTAATCTGCAACCAATAGCAAACATACAATAAACAAAAATGTATTATTATTTAGCGCCACTGTCATTTCATCACCACCACATATTTCTCTCTGAACCACAACTTTATAGGACTAAATGTATGTCTAAGATAATGGTCCGCAATGTCCTCTTTAATTTTAAAAAAAGATGAATGAAATCGGTAAATGCGTTCTCAAGTGATGCCGTGACAAAGGAATAGGGTTCATTTTTATAAATAGAAATTTGTTTCATAGCATACTTATTTCCCCGTTTTTTCTACATTTTTCCTAGTTTTTCTCATTTATTGGAAAAACTCCCGAGAAAATCAAAACATCAACCTTCCTAAAGCACGTCCCCAGTCTGATTTTCTTTTAGAAAAAGTGCTACACTTGTAACTCGGAGTAAGATTTGTGGTAGAAAAGTTGTCCACAGAAAATTAAATAAATACAAATAAATTCACTCAAGTATTCGTACCTTGTATAAATAAAACTCCATTCATATAATATAATATATTTTATATTTTTTCCATTTAAAAATATTTAATACATTAGGAGTTTTTTTTCAATTTGAATTACAAATTTAATTAAAATTTAGATAAGTGTATTTCGTTTTAAATTAAAGTGTACTACTCGTATATTATTATATCGTTCAGCCAGTGGGTCAAGTGTTTATTATGTTTATCAATAAAATAAATTAACGATGTTATTTCTTATTTATTTTAAATGCGAAAAAAAAATACATTTAACCAGAAATTCGATTTAATAAAATAAAGTACATACAAATTATTATATTTTTAATACCTAAGGTAAGGTAGAGTAAGGTGACCATATATAATACATATTCGTATTTTCCGTTTGGAAAAATACTTGAAATATATGTATTCATTTTAAATATTCAGGTTTAGGTAGGTACTTCAAATTAATATATAAAGTGTATATATAGCGTACCATATCATATTATAATATATTATACTGGAATATTTCATACAGCATTTTTTATAAAAATTTAATTTAAATATCTAAGTACATTTTTTTATGTATATATAAATATTATGTTACACGACTACCGGAGAAAAAAACTGTACGGATATTGCATTTTGAATTATTTTATTATTATGTTTGAATACAATATATATTCTATCCCAGTAAGCGCATAATATACCGTAGAAATTCCGTCAGGTACCTGGTATAATATGGTGAAAATAAAAAATGACATTTACGTAGTATTATTATTATCATTAATATATTATTATTATACACGACGATATACTTGAGAAATAAGGTTTGATTAGGTTTATTACACATGACGAAGTACAGGATAGAAAAAAAAAATAAATTATAATTGATGAAGTTGATAAGTTCTCGAATTTTTCAGTGAATAATATTTTTACTTAAGTATTTAATTTATAACAAATTTTAATGTTTTGTAAAATTGATGGCCATGCATCTATTCAAATGTCCCAAACAATTAATACTTACTGGTATAACTATTCAGAATAAAATATTTGAACAGACTAGGTATATTATTAATTAAAAATTAATGTAAATCATGTAACATTGTAACTCACTGATTATTTGATTTATTATTCATATTAAAAAAGCTGTCCTAGAATAATAGGGATGGGTGCAGCCACTGTTATAGGTAATTAAATGTATAACTGCAAGCAACAATTAACCAAAGCTAATCAAAAAATGATTCTGAGCGGAGTTCGGTTGATAGAGTTGCTTTTTCAACAACATACATTTCATATTATGGTAAAATAATAACATATGCATTATATATTTTCTTCAATAATATTTGTTTGATATTGTACCTATTTTATCGTTTTTCTTCCGGTTTTTCCTGGTTTTCCCATTTTTTAAGAAACCTCCTGAGAAAATTAGAAAGTGATGCATTTAAAGTATGTCCCTAGACTGATTTGCTTTCAGAAAAAGTGCTATCAATGAAAATTGGAGTTAAATTCCTGGTAGAAAAGTTGTTCACAGATACAAATAAGAAAATAAAAAAATATATATCATTGTAAAACCATATAAGGATCTTCGACCCACTCAAAATCTTAAAGATTCTACAAATGTAAAATTACATGATAATTATAGAATAAATTCGACGTACCAAATAATTTGTGATAACAAATAACAGCACATTCTCAGAATAAAAATAATTGATGAAATTATCAGAAGTTTACCAAAATTAATATTTAGATTCTAAATTAAGCGAATAATGCATTGGTTTAACTAGGATGGTTATTATTTTTTTTTTACTGGGTAATTTTGTATTATGTTTGTCGTAGTTTAATCGTATTTACCTGTTGTCATCCCAGCGATTGCAAGTTCAAACCTGACTTTCGAAAAAATAGGTTACGTTTATATTTTTCCTGTTACCTAAACAGAAAAATAACAAATGCATTTTGGGTGCACCTAAATACCCAAACCGTCGCTTGTTCGAACTATTCTAATCGAAAAATACCACTTGTTTTTTTGTGCAGACTTTTCTATCAGAAATCTTGCTACGATATATCAAATTTAGATTATTTTCTAAAATTAAATTTTATCTACATAGTCGTTGTTTAATTTTCCAAGCAGTTATTTTAATAATTGGGAAAAACGGACAAATTTATGAAATGTAGGTATTAGTAAAAAGACGTCCTAGGATAATGGGGATGAGTGCAGATAATGTTATAGGTAATTTAATGTATATTTGTAAGCAATAATTAACCATTGCTTACGAAAAAACAATTCTGAGCAAATATATATGCCATATTATAGTAAAATTATTGAATAGACTCTATATATTTTTCTAAAAATATTTATTTAATGTTGTACGGATTTCCCTGATTTTCCTACGTTTTATTCGGTTTTCCCATGTTTTTTCTCAATTTTTCATGTTTACTTAGAAACTCCGGAGAAAATCGAAAAACTTTCTCTATAAAGTACCTCCCCAGTAAAATTTCCTTTTAGAAAAATTGCTTTCTTTAAAAGTCAGAACAAAATTACTAGTAGAAAAGTTGTCCACCAAAAAAAAAAAAATCGTAATATTATACAAATATATTTCGTACATTTTTCCGTTTTTTTTTTTCGGTTTTTCTCATTTGATGAGAAAACTCTTGAGGAAATTGAAAATAAAGTAAAAGCTAAACTACTTTACCTTAAAAAGTTTCTACTTATAAAAATCGAAGGTATTCTTCAGGTAGAAAAATTGTCTATAGAAAAAAAATAATAACCTTTGTAAAACCATACGCTGCTTTACTCCATTTAGAATCTAAATAATATTGAGGGCTTTTTTTTCCTGTGTGACAACTTTTTTACCAGCAATTTTGCTCTGATTTAGAACGATAGCCCTTTTTCGGAAAGGAAATCTGCCTGGAATGGTATATAGGGAGGTCATTTTTTGATTTTCCTAATAAACGGCAATGACATGGGGAAAAACGGGAAAATGAATACAATATCATACAAATATTATTAAAGAAATAAATTATGCATATTGAATTATTTTATCATAATATTGAGAAAATAATTGTGATATAATATTGAAAAAGCAACACAATTAACTGAATTCTCTTCAGAATCAGTTTTTTTTAGCAATCTCCTCTACCGTTCCAACATCTCATTTTTAACAGTGGTCCATCCACGTGCGAAGTATGTCTACTCTTTTTAACATTATTCCATTTTTTGATAACTTGTTAGGAGAATTAATGCGGTCAAAATTCAAATGACATTTTTCTTGTATCTGTTGTTGTCATTTAAATCCGGTCCATAATAATAATTACTTAATTCTGATTGCGTTCTTGGAATGCCACTGCAGGATGTGGCTTATATTATTTATATTCTACAAATAACGAAATTTAAAGTTTGGTTTTGGATTGGAGCAAAAAATCATAAGTATATTATATTACTAAAGCTCATCGTACTTTGAAGTAGTCGATATATATCGCGTCTATGACGGCCACCACATCGATTCGTAAAGTTCTGTTCGAATTATTTGGTCGACCACGACAGTTGAGAATTCGCAGTGAAAAAACCGGAAGTCATCCCATTGTCATAATACACCGGAGATTAAATACATATTGGTAATATAGATTTTCGTTATTTTCGTTTTTTTTTTTTTATTTAGGGTTTATATTTGAATATTTGTCGTACGTACTTGTGATGAAAATAATAACATAATGAAATAGTAGTATATTTTTCAATAGTCTAGTATTGTAACGCGTATAGAGGGCCAAAGTGTATTTTTATAAAAGAAAAACAAGTAGGTCGTAAATATGTCAGATACTACTAATTTACTTGTTTGGTGGCGGCGTGGCGCGGTATTTCTATACTATTATAGCAAACTATTTCATACGACGGCGTTCAGTTTAATCGGGAAAACTGTGATCAGACAGTGTTCGCATGTTAACGTTATGAACATTTTACGAAATGTCACGAATTCAATAAAAGGTGGACTCACGGGACCGCAGAAAACGTCTGTAAACCCTTTTTCGATTAACTAGTAGTCAAAACGTTCGACTTGTATATCTATTACTTTAAAGGCAAATGTGAAATTGTCGATGTTTGATGTTAACACAATTTAATATAAAAGACGAACTTATTTTGCACATCAAATCGTTATAGAATTATTAACAGCTAAAGTTAGAGTTTAGTGTAGAAAGGAGACAAGTCCAGAACAATGTCCTTTCTAGCTAAATATCTTAAATTACTGTTTTATTAATTAACAAAGCAACACTATTAACTGAACTCCGCTCAGAATCGTGTTTTCGTTTGCAATTGTCTATCCTGCTTTAAGACATACATTAAATTTCCCCTTTACTAACCTCTCAACCTTCTACAACAGTGGATGCACCCATGTACAATGTTGCCCATTTTTTTAAAAATGCGTATGATAATGCCATTTATTTACTTATACGCCCAATTTCTTCTGTCTTATCTAGACAGTTTATTTTATGCTTTCTGTAAAATTAAGTTTTCAAGCCATATCCCCTTTCTGCAATTAGTTATTTATGCCTCATTCAACCTCTTAAAAAGCTACTAACTCTGTTTTAACTTTACGTTGTAAAACTAAGTATCAATAATAAGTAATAAAGGAATAAAGAAGTCATAAAACAATAGGTGATAATAATTATTATACTAGTTTAACAAAAACTGGATAAAAAAAATTAAGACCGCCTCCCCCGATATTGTTTCTGGTTACGGTACTGTCTCTACGTACTGGGCCAGACTAAATATTTATATTTGTCGTATTCGCGAAGAAAAAAAAGACATTTGCTATACATATTTATACGGTCTTTTATCTCTATACGAACAGCGTTGATGGCTATAATTTAATATCGGGACAACCTCGTTTAAATCACCCGTTTAAATGTGTATATGTATATTATATAAACACGGGAACTTGACCACGCCCTCGGCTCTACGATAATAATAATTGTCAATGGCCATGTCAACGCACCCAAATCGCATTGCGAAATTACAGAACTCGTTACCCGCCTGTGCCGTAAAGTAATAATAATGGTAAATGCGTAATTACGACGCAAAGCCGGAATACAATGCGCATTTAGAAACCCTAAACCGCCCGCGTATATCGCCGGCCCTTGTGCGCGCCGACCGACTCCGCGTCGCCGTCGTCGTATTATTGGATTTTCCGGAAAATGCTAAAAGCCGTGCGCGTGCACGTAGTGAAAACCGTCAACACGAATAAGTGTCCCGTTGCAGGCACTCTCGAGAGGCCCGTCGTACAGGAAAAAAAAACCGAGGGGATAATAATATTGTGTGAGTATATATATAAATATATATGTAGAAAGAAATATCGTACGTGTTCGCCATACGTCAATATTTATCATTACCGAATCGACGACATATACCTACCTACTACCTAACCTAACCTACCCACTACCTGTACTACTTACCTACCAACACCAACAGTATTATTTCGTATGCAAGCAAGCGACCAGCGCGATTTTTGCCATCCACGAATATTATTGTATCGAACGGTTTTAGATTCAAAGCGTACCAAGGAGAATGTATTGAATATGTTTTTTTTTTTCTTGGACCTGAGAATTGATTTTCTACCAAAAACCGCGCTCTGGTGGTTTTTGTTTTTTTAATATTTGGGCAAACAGGGAAATTCACGTAATTTTCGATTTTATTTTTGCGATTATTGTTTTGTTAGAAGTAATGTTCAAGACCTGAAATATTCACAGAATACTCAGCCCGTTCTAAACGTTGTCTAAATATTCTGTCAATTTTTGAGCTATAATTATAGCCAATTAATATGTTCGAGTTTTCCTTTTTCGTTTCATTTAGTCGTGTATAGATAAAATTATTTTGACCCGATTAGAATGTTCGAGTGGGTTCACCGTAAGTTGTAAATGGCGTAAAACAAAAAAAAATTGAGTTAAATATAATCAAATTTTGTTTCACTAAAATTGTACGAGTACACGTCCGACTTAAACATCATGGTCTCCCCTCCACCGTGTCCAACCTTTTACCAAACAGGAGTTACCCCGGACATATTAGATATTGCACTAATCTCAAACTTCCATACAAACTTATACCACAAAGTGTTAAATGAGCTCGACTCTGATCATGTCCCGGTAGTGACAACCCTAAGAATACAAGCTGAAACTAACCCCCCCCTGTACCAAAACTAATAAATCAGCCAATAAAATGGGAAATCTTTAAAGAAAATATAAATAAAATATTAAAACCAAACAGAAAGTACTCAAATACAAATGATATAAACTCGGGCATAATACACCTTACAGAATCCATCAAATCAGCGATAGACTTAGCACTAGCCCCACCAAATTACAAAAAATCTCATAATTATAACATGCCAATACCATCCCACATACAAAACCCAATCAAAGAAAAACATAAGGCACGAAGAATCTGGCAAACACACCGGTCACCAGCAGTCAAAAAACGTTTAAATCAACTAACAAGAAGAGTAAAATGGGAACTGGATAATCTAAGATATAATTCTTACAAAGCATACGTATCNCACTAAACAGCGTGAAACAATTCCCCCTTTAAAAAACGGATTAGCTAAGTACGAAACTAACATTGAAAAATGTGAAATCTTTGCCCAACATTTTGAAAGCTGTTTTACAACTGATGAAAACCATACAAACCAAAATGAAGTAGTAAACCTTGAACAAAGAAACATAGAAAATCAACCAATAGTCAATCCCATTAGCCTATGTACCCCTAAAGAAATACAGATAATAATAAATAAACTAGCTAATAAAAAAAGCCCGGGACATGATCTAATAACAAACAAAATACTCTAAAATCTCACGTCAAAATCTTTATCATACATAGCTAGCCTTATGAACTCCTTCATGAGACTATGCTATTTTCCCGACTCATGGAAAATTGCAATCATTATCCCTATACATAAACCAGGAAAACAAAATAGTTCACCCAAAAGTTACAGACCCATAAGTCTACTCCCAACTTTCTCAAAACTTCTTGAAAGAATTCTACTGCACAGAATTAAACCGTTCCTAAAAATTATACCACTACATCAATTTGGTTTCAAACCATTTCATTCGACAACCCATCAGTTACAACGGATCTCTGAAATCATAGTAAACGGTTACGAAAATAAAAAATTTACCACGACGGCCTTTTTAGACATATCGCAGGCCTTCGATAAGGTTTGGCACCATGGACTTATTTTAAAAATAAAAACCCTAAACCTACCTTTATACCTTAACAATACACTCTTGTCATTTATAGCAAATCGCAAATTTCATGTCAGAATAGGAAATGATATATCATAAATACATAATGTTAAGGCTGAAGTTCCACAGGGATCTGTGCTAGGACCATCTCTATTCAATATCTACTGTCATGATATACCAACACCGCAACATTGCCATCTAGCAATTCAATGTTCGCAGATGACACTGCAATAATAACGCAAAACCAAACTCTTGAATCTTCAATAAGAGACCTACAAAGCTCCCTAGATGAGCTATCCCTCTGGTTCTCAAAATGGAAACTAATACTAAACCCAACCAAAAGCGAAGCAAAAATATTTACACTCAGAAAATACATAAATCTAACCCTACTTCAAATTAACAATAAAGAAATCAACTGGAATAACAAAGACGACACAGTAAAATATTTGGGCTTGCACCTTGACAAAAAACTAAGCTGGAAAATACATATCAACAAAAAATTAAACCAAGGATACACTAGGCTACGAATACTGTACCCCCTATTAAATCATAGCTCTACCATACAAATGAAATGCTCTCTACTCCTTTACACAGCAATAATAAGACCTTTAGTAACCTATGCATGCCCAGTATGGGCATCTGCTTCCAAAACAAAAATTAAAAAATTACAAACCCTCCAAAACAAATTCCTAAGAATAGCCCTAAAGGCCCCTTGGTTCATGAGAAATAAACAATTGCACAACGATACAGGCATACCACACCTATCTACCTGGATAACACAACAATTTAAAAATTTCCACGAAAAACTCCACAAAGTTGACGGAGCCCGTCACTACATTATCGGCAAGAGATCCACAAATCTAAGACTCAAACCTCGGCTACCTCAGGACATCCTACTAGATCCCAATGAAGACACCTCAACCTCAGACTCTGACCTAGACTAACCTAACCAAATCTATTATACATCACATAATTATATAATAATAAAAACATTGTAAAAATACTTAGTGTATTGACACAATTATATTAATAAATAAAAAAAAAAATTTTGTTTCATACATGTTTTAAGAGGTCTATAATACACCTTCGTATTTTCCGTAAAAATAATTAATTTTAAATTCAGAACTCCAAAACGAGTAATCTGACAGTAATTTTTCAATACTTACTTAATACATCGACCGAAGAAAATTTTTAAAAACCTTAAAAACATAACGCTTTCAACAAATAATTAATTAATCAAAAATAATTTTAAAATAATTGTACCATTGCATTGTAAATGAAAAAAAAAAGATGTATTAACGTATTACCTACCATATATTTTTAGATTCGGAGCATAGCAAGGGTGGCAAAAAATGCCAGCCATATTTGCGCTATTGTCATTGTCATATTGCGCCATTGTCGCTATCACTGTCCTCTACAATCCATTATATCAAGTCCATTATTTCTTATAGTATTTAATATTTCGTTAGAAAGCCCTGATCCTAATTTTCGTTTTTACATGTAAAATCAATAAATGATTCTTTGCTCATAATTTCTTCATTAGAAATGTCGACATACCTGATTATTTGTGAAATTTGTTCCTGGTGAGATTTATCGGGAGTATAATCAAAAAGAATTGAGAAGTATTTTGATTTATTTGATTTGAACTTTAAGAAAACAAAACAATTTTTCTTTTTCATTTTTGATAGAATTTTAAATTTCATAATCAGAAGGGTTTAAATGTTTCTAATCTTGAAGTCCATTATTGGAAAATGCGGATTTCCTGATGTCATTATTTGCAAAACAGAGTCATGCAAAATAAAAAATTGCATTTTTTGATGAACTGTATAACAGCTACTGTCTTCGAACTTTTTCCTCGTTATTTAAAAATGTATAGAACCATTCACCGTGGAAATGTCTGCCGTCATCATAATTTACTGAAAAATAATTATTTTGCTCCATAAGATATGGAGCAAAATTTTTTTTCCACCAATCTAAGTCATAGTCGTTCAACATCCAGAATCATTAAAATTTATGTAAAGTTTATTATTTTCTTGGCTAGTTATAGGTTCATTGTTATCATTATTTTGTGTACTATATTCAATTAAATTATAATAATCATCAATTATATTTTTAATTTCAATACTTTTAAAATTTTCATTTAAATGTTTATTCATTTAAATCTTTTTCACCACTGTGTGAATTAATAAACTAGTCGACAGTGAATTGTCTTTTTTTTTTGTTCAGTATTATCATATTTTTTTATTTATCCAGCTACTTAACATTCACTCTTTCTTGCCTTTTTCCCTCAAACCAAGCCCCAGAAGATTTTTTTTCTGTGGGAGACATATTTAATAGGTGACCTAATGTTAAAATATAAAATAATACAAACTGTCAATACAACAATACTCAACTGATAAAATTAAATAAATAAATACTTTGTTAGTTTTATATTTTTTTTTTAAACTCAAGAACTTAACTATTAGTTTGTAATTTTGTATATTTGTTTTTCCAATTAAATCAATAAAATATGTAATTATATTTATGTTCTTAAACTTAAAGTATGCAAATTTGTGCATAAATAATAAGAAAATAAAATCTAATGGGAAAATGAAAAAATATTAATGCTAATAATTTTTCATAATCATTAAATTTTAAATAAATTCTATTAGATATTAGAATATTTACCTTATTCTATTTTAGACTACTGTTTCAGGGCGCATATTAGGTATACCTACGCGTAGTCAATCTAATGTGGATATTAAAATAAACAGAATAATCGTAATTGTAATATAATAATAATACGATTGTTTATATTATAGTGTATGTGTATAGTTTATTTTAGTCTTTGGAAATATTATTTTGGTTGATTTAAAACTGATTACCATTTCACATACACATTTTATCATAGTTGTTTTGTTTTTATTATTGTTGGCCACGGGATACGCTTTCATATTTCTTGAGGTTTATAATAAATGTAGAAATATATACATTATTATAAATAAAATATATTCCCTTTACGATATCATTCAGTACCTACCTGTTATCGTTGATCGTTGCGAATAAAAATTAATCTCAATAATAAATTTGTTGTTTAATCATAAAAATATAAGTTTAATTTTATAACACAATTAACACAGTGTTAATCAACTTGCATCTAATAAGTAAAAATAAGTAAAAATAAATTATTAACTGGGGTGTAATATAGGGTGACCATATATAGTAAAATAAAGAACAGGACAAATATAAAAACCATAATATTCATAATATTTAAATATAATTTTTAATAACAATACAACAATACATTAAATTAAATACATAAAATCTTTAACTGACTTTGTATAAAAATAAACTATGCAATGGATACAGGATTATTAAAGAAAGTTCTTAAAACTTTAGGACAATTTTCTTGTAATATTAAATATGATTTCAATGCATGATATATATATCTATTATTCTAGAAACGGCTAGCTGTAGGGATAACCAACGCATTTGTATAGATCTTAACATATTTTTGTACTCAATGTTAACAAAATTGTAAAAATCTTTGAATTTTTCTATACGAACTTTTATAAAATAATAAATTTCCAAAGTTATAAATTAACAGTATTTAAGGTATTAAAACGAGACAGACTTGAAAATACGGGATAAAAATCGTCCTGAAAGATGTTTGTCAGGACAACGGGACATAAAGCTGAAATAAAGGACAATCCTGTATAAAATAGGACGTATGGTCACCCTAGTGTAATACGTTTAATATAAAAAATATTTTTTTTTTATATTAGAGTTGTATATCAACTTAAATGTTTTGAAAACTGAAATTATGGTATTAAATATATTGTTCTTCGACCAAGTAAAAAATTAGAGATTGACTTCAATGAACTAAAAAAAGCTGTTTAATCTGAAATTGACCATACTTTACTTACGTTGTTGAAAGTGACTCTAACCATTCCTATTAGTTCAGCTACGTGTGAGCGTTTTTTTCCACTATGAGAAGAATTAAAAATTGGCTGTGTACATCGATGGACCAGTAGCGATTTCCAAATTGACAATAATAAATATTGAAAGAGAAAAATAAAATCATAAAATAAATTAATACATTTATTACTACGTTGTTGATAACATATTTATAAATCACACCCTCTCTTGAAATGAAAAGTATGACATCAAAAATATAGAACATTATTATGTAACTTAGCTAATAAACATTATTATTTACAAATTACATTTCGATTGAACTGATTGCAATTGATAGGTAATTAATTTTTATTAAATTTACTTAAGTGCAACGTGTGACGGTAGAATATGATAAATAATATATTGATGTTACGGATTCATTTTGAAATATGCGGATGAAGAATATTATAAAATATTACATGAATCCAGGAATAGGAATATTTATCTTTTATTATATCGTTTTACATTTTTAGAATAATTCTAAAATACCGTATGCAATATTTCGGATGCAAAGAGAGTAAATAATAAGAATTTGAGCAGACAGCTTTTTTTTCTATGCATTGTAAGGAATGCATTCCGCTTACGTCGATATTATTATATTGTCTTTACTACCGGCTCTATTCAGTTATTTTTCTCCCCTTGTGGAATTTTCAAAAACGTCTACAATGCACCAGTAGTACGGTTCCCACCGTGTCAAACAATAAATACATTCGTTCGATCTTATAAATTATTCCTGCTTAGAGTATGTGCTTGTAGAAAAGTTAATATTTATTTCTTCAAACTATATCATTCCGAATAAACGATTGTTATTTTTCTCTTTATTTTTTGCCTGCTTCGAATTAACAAAATGTTTTTTTAAAAAAAAAAATTAAAAAACAAACATATTGAACAGAATTAATTTTTTTATTATAAATAATTTTTCAAACCGGATTTTGTTATAAATTAATTATACATTTTTTTTTTGTTTGTTTTATTAAAGTTCGGCATTTTGGTATTTAATTTGAAATAGAATTTTTTTTAATTTCTCTATAGGACTTCAAATACATTCATAGGAATACTTATTTATTTAACTGTAAGCCAAAATATCCTGCTATAAGTCTTTTTTTATCATAACATAATCAGCATAATCTGGGTTTTTAGTTTTAATTCCCATAGAAAAAAACAAATTATTAATCTTATTTACATAATTTATTGTCAATTTTATTTTTAAACTTGTTGCAGCAAGAAAAATTACTATAAAGGCAAGACAATTATTCAAGCTTGATATGTATAAACATTCACAAGTAAAATTAAGTTATTATTAAGTTATTAACTCTATAATAAAGTAAGATTTTTGTTTTCTTAGTTCAACTGTACGTCTCACATTTTGTGTTGGGTTTTTAATATTATTTCCATTGTCAAAATTTTAACTAACTTATTTTTTAATATTGCTCGAAACTTCTATACACCTAGTATTTACTGCAGCACCCTCGGCATTTTTCTGAATTCCATTGAAAAATGTATTTAAATTAAAATCAATTATCACTGTTTATTTTGATTTATAAAACTATCACATCCTAATCTTGACCATCATTAATGTCTAAAGGATTATCTTGTATTTTAGTTTTTTTTTTAAATTCGTGTTTGTTTAATTTGTGTTTGAGACAAGGGTTTTAAACAGTATTTAATATTTTGTTGTCTATCTTTTGTCATCCACAATTCTCCCACATAACGCTACATGATGTTTAAGTGCTTCCAAACAGTGTTTTGTACAATTTTATCCTTCTTTTAAGCGTACAGCAATTTTGACAACAAAACTACAACCATTTGATTTTGTTTAAATTGCATATAATTTATGTATAGGACCTTTTGGAATATTTTAAAGATCATAATTTATTAACATTGTTCTTGTTTATAAATTTGGTATAGACTTTTTATAAATTTCTTTTTATAATAAGTATGTTATTTTGGTCAAAAAAGGGGACTTTCATAGTTCTTTAGGTGAGACTTTATGTTCATATTTCTTTTTTTCTTCACTGTTTATAAATATTGATAGTACTATTAAAATTTTAAACGACATTTTTTCTGTCTGTTTTTATTTGTGCTCATAAGCTATCATAAACCAAAACAAGTCGTTCTATAACTAGAAGAGATATATAATTACCGATTTTGATGTATGTTACATGTTCATGGTCACTTGTAATGACAGTCAAATGAAATGTTGCCTATTATTTTGTTTATACTGTTTTTCCAATATATTACATTTACATAATGTCTCCATTTTTCTACATAATTTTTTTTGTTTCTCGAATAGCCTTTACTGAACTCATGCTTATATATAGATATTTTTATTTTGTCATTTTTTTTTTGTTGATTTTTGATCTGTTTAAATTAAATAACGATTTATTGTATTATCAAGCTTTAAATGATTTACATTTAATTAAAATAATATTAAAGAAAATAAAACGTATTAAATTTTTTATTATAAAATGACATATATACATTATTGTTATTTACGGGTGTACATTAAATTCAAAAAAATAATTTACCATCACACCTACGATATACCTTCGTATATTTCGTCGTTTTTGATTTTTCTTATTATTAAGAAATATACTTGGAATATTGAAAATCACTCACACAGTCTGTTGCAAAATAATATAAGTAACAATAGTTTCAGTTTTAGCAATATATTTAATAGAAATACAAAACATCAACATCGTGTAAACGTAATGAAATAAATTAAAACAGTAACTTCTTGTTGAGCTATAAATACATGCTATTTTATCTATAGTTTTCTGTTTGGTTTTTCCCAATTATTTCGAAAACCTTTTGAAAAACTCAATACGTTAATCCAAAAAAAAAAAAAAAATCACACAAATAGTTAAGCCAATTAACTTCGAATTTACTACTGCACGTACAGTAGTAGAGTAGCTTTATTATATAATAATTACGCTTATTATCATTATAATTATATACTTGTATATATAGGTACTTAAAAGTGGGACCGAAACCATATTTTCGTAATAATGAAATATTTTTCTTTTATGCTTTGACAAACTCTTCGGTATTTAGAGAATTTTCACAAAGTCGTGACAAAAATGTATAATACTTACTTCGTAAATAAAATATATTTCGCTTTTCTTATATAGAACGGTATTGTTATCGACCAACAATCATTTTCCAAAGACTTTCAGAACGTCTTTTATCGTTTACTTTACTTTTTTATTTGTTAAGTACATCGGCCAAATTAAATCTAGAATATGCAGTAGTCTTTATCTTTATATTGTTCTGTTGTTCACGATGTCGTTTTTTTCTGCAATTTGTACAAGTAGGCTCATACTTCTCGATCGTCCCAACACAATATCGTCGGATATAATAGACGATTATTAATATTTACGTCGATAAAATATTGAATTTTTTACCGTGGCAATAATAAACGTATTCTTTTAAAATGATTAATTAATTAAAAGAAAAAATAATTTACGCTGGACTTGTGAAATAATAAGTAGGTACTCAAGGGTTTTTTTATGAAATTTTCCGGGATACAAATGAATTGCAACTTGAAAATAACGTTTGATAAAATTGTGCGTTGCAGTAATTTTATTTGTCATAGTATTGTTAAAATACTAGTATTATTATTATAATTTAATTTAACACTGCCAAAATATTTATCACATACCTTTTTGAAGTAAATTATTTATGTATTCGTATTTATAAATTAGCAAATTAATACCGGGACAATAGTTGTTCTGGAAACATTTTTGTACATTTTAAAGAAACTACACATCTAAATATAATTTTGTAGTTTTACAATAATGCTGAAACATGTTAAAAACCTAGACAGAAGAGTGAAAAACTGAGAAAGCTACAACTGAAGATGTTGAAATGTAGCACAGGAAAAGAACTTAAAGATAATCTCATAGACAGAAAGAGTAAGGAATACGGAGTTTCTTCGTCAGATAGATACGTAAAAGTCAATAAAGAACACATGATTGAAGTACGAAAAATAAGAAAGAAATTAATTGGATTGACAGGATCGGAAATACAGGATACCGTTCATGAGCAAGTGATTAAAACCACCAGAGTAAATGTATAGTATGCAGAGCTTAAACAAAAGAACTATAAATGATAGGAATAGATATCGAAAAACATCAATCATTAATAAATCATTAACCAATAATTCTAAAATTGCAAAAAAGAAAAAAGTACAATGTACTTTAAAGTAAACATTTTTAATATATTTAACATTAGATCCCCTTTAAAATTATAAAAGACGAACACATGTCATATAGTATAGTATCGTGTATCGATTTTTAGTTTTCATAAAATTACTATAGATTATTTTTGTTCTGTATATAGGCACCGGGTACTATACTATCAATAACTTTGCGAAAACTTAAAAACAAGTATGAATTACTCAACTTAGGAAAATGTCTACAGTATTCAATTGTAGACATTTTCCTTTACGTTTAATACGATTATAGTATCAATGTATAATTTAAAAGTTTGTTTGGAGTATGCACAAAAATTTAATAAGTTGAATATCAAACGGCGGAAAATTTTGTTGAAATAGTTCTGAAATAAAAACTGAAAAGATTATTCAAAAGTAAAATAAAATGTGTCTGTAAAGTTATATTTTTTGAAATGAAAAAGTACTCAAAAATGTGAAACCGTTGTTATTTCTCTGAAATGTATATTAATAAGGTTCTTCTACATGGATTATATTAAATGTCGAAACGGAAATTTATGAAAAATATTCGTAAAACTTTTTCTTTGATATCATATAGTAATAGTAATACAATTTAGATACCTAACTGACTGTTGTGCTTTTTATATTCATCTACGGAAACAAACAAATTTCTAACGAAAAGATATTATATTTGAAATTGCGTGTGGAATATTTTTTTACATGGCTACACATTTTTTTTATGAGTATAATACTCGTTTAGATATTTTAGCAAATAAATTGAAATCCATGTGGGTTTCCCTCTAAATATATTTATAGGAGACTGAGCAATTTGTATATACTTGATTATTTTTATTTAATTTTTAATTTTATGAAAATGGAGAAAATTGTACTGAAATGTGTTTGATATATCTTTACCTCCCTACTTTTAGATATCTGGTTTAAGTTACCGACTACATCCCTTATTTATTCAAACATTTTTTAAAATAACTATTTAAAAATCAATTTATTAATAAAATTAATGACTGGTTGAAGACAGAAAGTGTAATTTATTATAAAAAAAACCTCTATTATTGTGTTCATAGGATTTCTCAATGAATACATTAAGAGCAGTTCACACGTAGCATGTCAATTTTTGAAGTAAACAGCATTTGTATACAATGATGTTTCCCGGTGAGCTTAACACGAATTCCAGGGCGAATCATCCGCCCGTGCCAGTCTTCCCATTAAGATCGACTGGACTGAGCTCTCAATACTCGCCATATTCAACTTCTCGGTTTCAAGAAATACAACAGAAATGCAGTTTGAAATGTTCGTGGAAATGCAGTTTTTTACTGTTGGTGTTCGTCACCATGCTCATCACTATGGTCTTTGTCTATTTAATGGGTTAGTTTGCGTACTAATATTATAGAATATAAAGTTATTCAAATTTTATAATACATACTAGTTTGCCATGAAATACATATTTATTTTTTTTTAATACTTATGTAAAAACATTTTGAAATCATATTCTAATTAACAAATTAGAATTATACTTATTTTTGTCACCGAAAATTCCATTTGTACTAATATTATTTATAGAATTTTTAATATAGTTTACGATTTAAAAATTAATTTTAAGCACCTAGTTGTTTTATTCCAAAAAAAAAGAACATTATACAATTTTAAAATATATGATTCCAATTTTTTTTTACTAAAGTAATTTTTTTCAAAATAAATATGTCATAGACAATTTGAGTGTATCATACAATTTGAATGAACTTGTAAATAGATAGATCATATTATAAATTAAATTATGATAGATTATTGAAGAAAAAACAAATATATATATATATATATATATATATTACATATTGTATTTTACTTTTTGAAATATAGCTATGAAGAAACCTTGCACAGAGACCAGAGAAAAATGCGTTATTATGGAAAAGACAAGCGCCATTGAATTAGATTCAGAAAACCCTGCACTGAAACTGACCACTGAAGGTATGAATTTTACACGTTGAATAATAAGTATTGTATAGTATCTAAAGCCAGATCTATACGATGAGAAAGATGTAACGATAATAAGTGCCACGATCTAAGGCGTCAGTGTGTTGCTCACATGTATATTTTAGAGCCACTATATAATCGATTTTGTAATCTAATAGCAAAAATTAGTGCTATAGATGGCACATAGACTATATTAAAAAGAAATCTTAGCTAACATAATTTTTAAAAATACATTTTGTTTAATTTTTTTTTTTAAAAAAACTACCATATTACATTGTGTAACAAACATTTCTCTATGTCTTCTTTGATCTTATCTTCCCAGCGTAACCTCGGCCTTCCAAGTGGTCGTTTTCCTTTCGGTGCATCGCATCGACCTAAAACCAATGCCAATATTTTAAAAATGAATAGCAAACAATTGAAAAAACGGTCTTTAAAAAGTATGCAAATCATACGAAAACCTGCATACATAATTTGTAGTTTTAGGTAGACTAATCCCCATTAAGTTGGCCGATCGACTTCAAATAGACATTAAAATTACATTTTTTATTACAAGTTACTATTGAAAACTTTTTATGACCCTCATATTCGTTTGTTTTAGCGCCACCATCTAGTACTACTACCGCTGCAAACCCATTACGAGATAAACTCTCCGGTGATGTAACGCTGGATGATCAAAACGATATGCACCGGCAACACACCAGGTACCAATGGCCTTCGGTTTTAGAGATTACCAGTTTCAGTACGCCGTACAGTTCTAATGTGTACCCGTATCACTTTTGGAACTTGGAGTTTCACAATAAACAACCGGTATTTATGCGACTCAACCTGACGTTGCCGTGGGGAGCCAACTTTGCGGTGTACGGTCGACGAAATGTGGCCCCCAGCATAACGCAACACGACTTTTCTGAGTTTATCAAGGGTGGAAGATTGGACAATAGGCTGAGTCGTCGGTCAACTGACATTATAGAAAAAGACCCCATGGTTGTAAATGTAACTCTGATACAATACTTGGACACGGGTCGATGGTTTTTATCTGTTTACAACGACGATCTCCGGCCACAAACAGTAGTACTCAGAATTTCGGAAGCCGAAGATGTTTCGACTACCTGTCCAAATGAATGTTCCGGACACGGATCCTGTTATCTAGGCAAGTGCGACTGCATCGATGGATATCAAGGGAACGATTGTTCTAAAAGTAAAACACTTCTAATTTTCGGACTTTTATACTTTAGGTATTCGAGTAGAACTAATTTGTTAAATATTTGTATTATGTTTTATTATAAAGGTGTTTGTCCGATGCTGTGTTCTAATCACGGAAAGTATGGTGGAGGTCTCTGCCATTGTGAAGAAGGTTGGAAAGGTACCGAATGCGACATACCGGAATCGGATTGTAGAGTGGCCGACTGTTCGGGACACGGTATTTGTAAAACTGGCATATGCCAATGTCAACAAGGATGGAAAGGAGATGATTGCAACGAAAGTACAAAATTTAAATTCCAATAAATATTAAAAACATTTAAACAAAAAGTCACGCCGTGTCGTAATTATAATATGCAATTGTGTGTTTTAGTGGACTGTATGGATAAAAGCTGTTCCAGTCACGGTATTTGTGTATCCGGTAAATGTTATTGCAAAGCCGGATGGCAGGGCGAAGATTGTTCACTGATGAATAAGCAAGTATTCCAGTGCCTACCCCGGTGTTCGGATCACGGTACATACGATCTGGAAACGGGAGTTTGCGTTTGCAATAAATTTTGGACGGGACCAGATTGTTCTCAAGGTTTTATAATACCCATACGATATCTAATTTCAAACCGTTGATAACACATATTGATGGTTGTTGTTTTTATAGCTTTGTGTAACTTGGACTGCGGTTTGCACGGAAAATGCGATCAAGGTAAATGCGAATGCGACGTTGGATGGACAGGCGATAAATGCGATCAACTCCCTTGTGACGTAAGATGTTTCGAGCACGGACAATGTCGAAATGGTACTTGCGTGTGTACCAGAGGATGGAACGGCAAACATTGTACTTTTCGTGAGTCATTACAAACATAATTTATCTGATTATCGACCGTTTTATACTGCTGTAAAGGACAATATTATTTTATTGCACGCGTGGTGTGTGTTATCGTTGTACATAATTATCAATAATAAAATAATAAAGTAAAAAGAAAATTACTAAAATGGTTAATACTCGTAAATAAATTTAGTAAACAAATATATCAATCGAAAATAGATACAATTAGCTTTGATGCTAATATAGACTTAGAGATATTAAGTGCCAAAATAACATTTTAATATATTCAGTTTTAGAAGAATTACATATATACAATGATATAAAGAAAATAATTTTAAAAATATTTTAAATGTACAAACCTGTTTTAAAAATAATATCTTATATGAATAAATTTTAGATTATAAATAACTAAATAATTTATATTTCTTAACATATCTATGTCTAATAATAACCCATTTTAATTAATCTCTCTTATTAAAATAAATTAAATTTCTATGTAAAATGACCAATTTGTATAATTTTTTTCTTAGTATTCTTAGTATTTCATTCAATTTCTTATATTCATCCCCATTTTACATTTGTACTGTGATATACTTGATAATGAATTTTTAATTCGAAACCTATCGTATAATACACTTATCTTAATACTCCAGGCGACGCATTCATTCATTTATTTATTTTTTATTTCTATATTTATTTACTACATGTACATAATTGTTTTGTCTTTCCGCAGAGGGTTGTGAAAATGGTTGCGGAAATCACGGGAATTGTGTCTTGACCAACAACATGTACAATTGCATGTGTCACGATGGATGGGAGGGAGTAAGCTGTTCGGTTCGCCTAGAAATGGAATGTAACGACGAGATCGATAACGATGGAGGTAGGCATCGTAATCTCAGATCATACCTACATATTGAAATGGGCGTCCTTGAATATGATTGAACCCAGTCGTGAAAGACTTTAGGGTTGGATTGGGAATTAGGTTCCTTTTTATATTTTTGGTGATGTATCGGTACTGTTTTTCCCTCCTCCTCAGATTGTCTGCTTAATGTCACGATCTCATTAAAAAGACTAAATTAGTCGCGGTTAAAAATGTTTCACACTGTTTAGATGGTATGACCGATTGTTCGGATAGCGAATGCTGTAATTCACCGGCTTGTGCCGAACACATAATGTGTTTAGCGTCCAACGATCCTCTTGATGTGCTATTGAGGAAACAACCACCGTCGGTAACCGCTTCGTTTTATCAGAGAGTGAAATTTTTGGTAGAAGAACACAGCGTCCAAAGCTATGCACATTTGGACGAGTATAGCGAAAGGTAAGTGTTTGGTTACGTCAATAATATTATAATACATCTATACATATTATACTAAAATATACATTACCGGTGTTTCTTTTATCGTTGAAGGTTCATTATTTCACAAAGTATTGACTTTTTTAAAAACAAATTTTTTTGACAATTTAAGGAACAAACAATTTTAAAATGTTACATTTCCATTAGTTTTGACACCCTTATTTTTGTGGGGGTGAAACAGTTACGAACCTTTACTTTTAAATTAGTAACCTACATTGGGACTCATAATTAGATTGAGTATTAGTTTACATACATTTTGGTGTTAACATTTTTGATTTCCGTCTACCCGTTCACGACATATTTCAGTTTTAAGTTTATATCGGGAAAGTAGCAGAGTAACATTTTTGTGGCGGCACATTTGATTATTATTCCACCACTATACTCCTGCCTAAACTTAAAAGTGGAATATCTTTGAATGCGTTGACGAAAATCAAAAAATATCTCCTCCAAAATTAATATTTTATCCATTTTAACTTTTAATGTAGGTTACTGTTTGAAAAACAAAAGTTGATATCTGTTCATCCCGAAAAATAAGGATGATAAAAAATAATGGTAATGTAAAATTTAAGAGCTGATTGTTTCTTAAATTGAAAAAAATGTTAATTGAAAAAAGTCAATACTTTACGAAATAATGAGTACTCAACGATAAAATAATCATTATGTTTATAATATTATACATAATATAATATATTTTAATCACTCCGTTAGAAAAGCGCAAAACTATTCACATGGCAAATATTATAAAGTTGTTTAAATTTATAAAATGATCTAGGTTTGCCTACTTAATGATCACCGTCAAATGCCCGGGCATCGATAAATACTATCCTGATGCCAATGTTCAGATTTTCAGATTCACCCTGTATATATGTAAAATTATAAAATTTATAGAAATTGCGAATTTAATGTTTTAATTAACATTCTTGTTTGATTCGTATAAACATTTTATTTTTAAATTCTGGATTTAAAAACTGTGGGACGTTAGTTAAAAACATAAATAAACCGTGAATTCTCTACATTTTCGATACACGTGTAATGTAGGTATTTAAAATATGTACGGTGGTATTAATAACCAGTAACAATTTAGAAATATTTGAACATTAGCGTACATATTATAATATTGCTCGTTTCAGTAAAAAATGTAAGCACTACTAACTGCTGAAGAAGTTAATCATTATAAAACTTTATAATTCAGTAAATTTGTACAGGCACTAGTGTACTTCATTTAGCATATCAGTTCCGTGTTTGAAATGACCGTGGCAAAAGAAAAACCAATATTATGTTTAGGTGTATGGGACTAAAATGGGTTTTTACCATGGTTTTTTTTTTATTTTTTATTTTATCGTTATTTTACTTGTTTTACTTTTTTTTCTTTTTTTTTTTCAACACTGTGTTGTGTGTGTTAACGCTTTTATTACATAGATATGTCAAAATTCCATTGTGTACGTCTCGAAAAAAAAATACTTGTGACTCATTTCTTATACTTTATATATTTTGTAATACGTAGCTGCCTGTGTAGTACCCTTTTTCTAAATACAAAATGTTGTTCCAAAAGGCTTGGCTTTCGGCAAAAACAAATATAAATATATGCATACGAATATAAATATATATTTATAATTTTTTTTAAATAAATATTATATTCATACGTATATATTTTACGTTATCACGTTTATAAATTTGTAATATTTACGTTATTGTGTAACGACAAGCTTGATAATTTTATCAAGATCGATATTTATCGTAAGAAAAAAAAAAACATGCATTACGAGATTTTTCAAAATGCAGGTGGAGTTCGTTATGGTCAGCAAAAATCAAAATAATAATTTTCCACACTTAGGTATGTAGTTTAGGGGACCAGTATAAAAAAATACCCGGTTAAACGTCGTTATCGCGATAGGTATCATAAAAAAACAAAAGTAATAAAACTGAAACACGCAACACAATTTTTATGGGTATACCTACAAAATATAATAATATGATAGGTGGTTTATTTTTATATACATATATTATTTTTTTATTTTTTTTTTTTTTATCACGGTTTTTGAAGATTTTTGTTTTTATTTTATTTCCATAAGACATCTTAAACAAATCGAATATTCGATATTTTACCCGAAAACGCACGGCCGAAGTTAATATCTAAATTTACCAACGAACTCCGCCATGATAATATTTATGCGTTTGTATACGGTTTTAGTTTTCTTATAGAAAATGTAAACGGGTAGGGTCGGAAATAATTAAACAATAGACTTAAATTGAATAAAAAATTTCTAGTTTTCGGTTTGTTTAAGATGTTAAAAAAAAACAACTCATACGAGTTATACGATATGATATAAATGTTTTTTTTTTTTTTTTTTATACATCTATATATAATGATATATTATATATATTTTAAAATAGTATTTTGGTAATATTCCTTCTCTTTTTTCTTTCTCTTTTTTTTTCTATTGTCCGTCCTCGTACACTTCAAAACGAATATGTACCATAGTGAATTTTGGAACTCCTTTACGCCTGGGTAAGTTTATAATGAAAAAAAAAAAATTATAAATTGTAATTTTGTTTTTGGTTTTTTTTTTTTTTTTTAATATTTCATAAAGCTTGTATTGGTTTATTTTTGTCTGACAGCACATAGTCAGATTGCTCATTATCATAATAATATTTTGTTCTCATTTTGGTAAATGATTTACAAAAAAAAAAAAAATAAATAATATATTATATACTAATATAATAATTGATTAACAATATATGTATAAATATATATATAATATATTATAATATTATAATTTGTTGTTTAAGAAATTATTAACCCAGATTATTGATATATATATATATATATATATATATATATATATATATATATATTTTATATATATTTATTTATTTTTTTTTTTTTTTTTTTTTTGTAACATCAACAAGAATGAGTAGATAAGTTTGACGCCTAATATATCAATAACACACTCCTACCTCCACCCCCGTTCTGTGTTTAACATAAATATTATTTATATAAATGAATGTTATAAACGGATTTATATTTTAGATTATAAAAGTGCAAGGTAACAGCATGGGAATTATATTTGTTCGTATATATAATATAGTCGACGGGATAAAAAAAAAAAAAGGAAAACAACAGTAAAACTCCACCTGCAAAATTTTAACATATTAAATAACATAATGAAATAAACAGAAAAAACACAACATCAATACATTATTTATTGCGCTTTTGACCAAACGAAAAAAAATATCGTATAACAAGTTTGGTTTTATAATATAATACACAATTTGATTAGCTTATATTTTATTATAAGTACTTATATATAATAACTATAACAGATAACTAATCAGCTGATGCTCCTGCGATATGTTTATCCAGTTTCGTATATATATATATATATATATATATATTTATATATATATATAATATACACACTTATACAGGTATCTGCAATTTTGTTTTGTGTTATATTATGTATCTCTATAAATACATATATATATATATATATATATATATATATATATATATTTATATATTATTATAATTTATGTGTCGTCCAGTAGTATAATTTATTATTATTAGCATAATATTAGGCATTAGAAGCAAACATATTTTTTAGCACTGATATAATTATAATTATAATATTTTGTTTTATAGGTTATATTATTTATCTAAATTTTTTTTTTTTTGAAACATAAATACGACCGAAAATTTCACCTATCTATATATTATTGAATAATGACGGATGAAGCAAGAGTACCGCAACTAGGAAAAATGTCGGGGGAGGAGGTCACTCATATTATAAATTCAATTACTGTCTACTATTTATAAGAACTATAAAAAATATATCGAAATAACCAATTCGGGGAGTGGAGTAGGGAGTACATGCCCTCCCAGTTCCTCCCCCTGTTTATTACCGTCATGATTAAAAATACCGTAATTTATTGATATTCACTTCATAATAATATATTCACCGTCATATTAGTGTATTTTGTCAGAATCAATATTTTTCATTTATTCTATTTTTTTTTTCCAAATACAAACACACATATTACATTAATACAAAAAAAAACAACCTCAAAATCGAACAAAATATAAAAACCTAATCAATTATTATTATAGTATACCATGCTGCTGCCTTAAACTTTTAAAACTAAAACGCGTAGTATACCAACAACTTGGGCAGCTTTCGGCAATAATAATTATTTCTCGAAAAACCATACGATTTCCCGTAAAAAAAAGAAAAACAATCACAATAACATTGTAAACATATTTTTTTTTTATTTGTGTTGCCCAGCACTTTGTTTGTATATTATAAATAATTATTTTCTCGAATTTATACACACGCGTAAAATATTATGAATAAGTTCCTATTTTAATTCAAGACAGTCGCACGGTGGCATTTGTCGTCTAGTGTGTTTTTGTTTTTTTCTAAACGGGCAGTATAGAACAAATACATTTAAGTTAAACAAACGGAAATACCTTTAAAATCGGGTTTAGAGATAAAAAACCTATTTATATAGTTTGTAGACAATAATATATTTGAAGACTACCTCATCAGCGTATTTTTTTTTCCTTATTAATCCGTAGATTGTTTGAACGGTGCACTCTGATCAATTCGTCTTACTGCTTTACCCGTAGTGACTTCTTCCTTAGCTCCTGTAGTATATATTTTTCACATCCAGCATAATTTGTTATATGCCTTGGTCTTCCTATTTATGGGTTCCCCTCAACTTCCACGTTCGCTTCCGATATAGAACTACTATCGTTCGCCAATGACAAAACCTCTTTAAACAAAGGACTTTAAACAACCTTAGTCAGCACCAGATATCGAAAACATCTATTATTTACCTTTGGCCCGCCTTCATGAATCTGACCCATACAACAAAACACACCGCACCGCGAGGTCATTTACAAATAATTGTTTAACAAGCGTATTTTTTGTTTTGTTATCTATAAAATCGATTTTAAAAAGACATGTCCGTTTAATATACCCAAACACGTATTTGCTAATATTGCTCGTCAGAAATACGAGCGACGGCAAACGCCATTGCCCGACTATACCTCTTAAACCGTTGACCGTTTCGCAAAATTATATTGATATCGTGTTACATTTGATATTTATATTTTATTTTTTAAGTTGATGTTGGATAGTATACTTACGATTAGTTTTGAATTCATATTTTGCATATGTAGAATAGAAAAACATTTTTTTTACATATTTATTTATTTAATATATTCGGGTCAATGCGATTCCCTAAGCGTATTTCCAAGATCGAACTGAAACCTAGTATTTTCAACGTACCAATTTCCTATATTTACTGGATAAACAAATGTACATACGACGTGTAGGTTCGTTGCGCGCCGTTGTAGATTAGTTCTACGTATTAAAATAAAAAAACATTTTAAAAAAACTGATATTTTTGCATGTAAGGTTGTCTCGAAAAAACGAAAGAAAAAACAGCACATAATTAATTATAATTATTGTTTTGATTAAACAACACTTTGCTTATATGTCTAATTTATGCTTTTTTTATGTATTTAGTTTGCTTTCTGCATGCAAACGCATATTTTAATACGACAGTATGTTATTTACTAAAATAAAATTTATAAAAATAATTTTTTTTTTCTTTAATTGTTAAATAAATCGTTCGTGTAAAAAAAAAACAACACATGTAAAAATAATAACATAATGAAACGACTGGTAAAAAAAAAAAAAAAACGATAAAAACCAATTTATTATTATTTTTTTTTTTTTAACATACTTACAAATTGACAATACTATATTATATTCTCGTGAAAATTTCCAATCGTATCGTTTTATTTTTTTTTTTATCTAATTATATAAAATATAATAAAAGCCAAAAAGCCGAATTGGAAATAAAAATCAACTCTATAATATTCTAGCGCCTGTAAATGTTGCTTACTATTATTATTATTTTTATTATTTATATATATATATACATAATTGTGGCGTCTTTTGTCTTCTGATTTTTATTTACATTATTTTTTTACGTTTTTTTTTTTCCAAAATTACTTTAGTTTAACAAAAATGTTCCATTGCTTTCAGTTTTTTTTTCTCGCGTATTGTTCGCCAGCCCGACGTTTTATGATTCCGTCACACGATCATAGGCGTTTTCGTAATACTATAATATTATAGTTTTCATAAACCTCAAAATCACTGTTAGTAATATCGTACATTCCGTGAGAAAAAATAAAAATAAAATTAATAATTAAAACACACCTACTCGTTTTGTTCGAACATTTTCCACTGTTCGGATATAAATATCAAGTAGGTATTGTAAGACAAAAATATAAATGTGCATTTTTTTTTTATTCAGCCTTTAAGTTGGTCTACATTTCTATTATAATCCATCGTTAGCCTTTTTTTTTTTTTTTAGTTTTTTAGTTTTTTAGAAGTAATGAATCATATTGTTTCATTTGTCCTTCATTATGCATACGAGTTACTTTTATCATGCAACTGTTTTGGGTGTCTCGGTGCACGTACGATCATTTTCCAACGCCTCGCTTGAATTGCATCCACAAACGTACTCGTACTTTTTTCTTTAAAAATAATTTTTAGTAACTATTCACTCTCGTTCCCACATTATCCATCTTTTGTTTTCAATAAATATCATCAACAAATTCAAATTGATTTTGCTTTGGGTATGTCATTAAATTTATGACCTACGTTTCATATCTATATATCGCTATACTCCAAGCACATGTTTTCGAAAGTGACTTCTTAGTTATTAAGATGTACAAATTTTGACTAAAATTATATTTATCTTTTACTAAGAGTTAATAATAACATGTACCTAGGTACAACCTTGTAATTATGATTTTTAATAATTACGTCAGTATATTAAATTATAACATGTAAAATATTACGATTGCGCGTATTATGCATTTTTTATAAAATACTTTTAGATTCTGAGTGTAGCGAACAATGTTTTGGTTTTACAAAGATGTTTTTTTTTTCCTGTGGACAACTTTTCTACCAGCAATTTTGCTTTCGACTTTTAATGATATCAATTTTTCTAATAGGAAATTTTACTGAGGTGTTACTTTAAAGAGACCGTTTTTCGGTTTTTTCCTGAATTTTCTAGCAAATATGAAAAATTGGGAAAAAACATAGGAAAACCGGGAAAAACGTAGGAAAATCGGTACAACAAACAACTATTATTAAAACAAAAACAAAATGTGCATGTAATTATTTTACTATAATATGACATACATATTATTGACAAAGCATTACTATCAACTGAACTCCGCTTTGAATCGTTTTTTCATTAACAATGGCTTATCGTTGCTTACCGATTACATTAAATTACCTATAGCAGTGGATGCACCTATCCTCATTATCTTAGGACAGCTTTTTGTTTAAATGTAAGAAAGTTTTCTTCTATCCCCGTTGAAGTGGAGTGTTATTTATTTTTAATAATATTATCCTAATATTATCGCTAATAATAATATTTATCCTTTACTAAAGGCTGATGTACATGGTAATCAATTGGCGTACTAGTCGATGTTGCCAGTTTCTGAATGCCAGTGACTGATAACGTGTAAACCTGTCAGTTGAAGGCAAAGCCAGCGAAGAACTAGCGTGCCAGCAGATGTCAACGCCAGTCACACAAATATTTTTGTTCTATTGGCGGTTTGACTTTCTAGTTATCTGAAAACTGTGCACTACTTGAATTGGTAGCACACTATAACTATACTAGTAGTTGGTAGTAGTAAACGACGGGTGCCAGTAATTCAGCAATTCCAGTTGCCACACGCCAGTGACCTTTCAGTTAGCATACCACTAAATGGCAACGTGTAAATCAGCCTTAAGAATTAATAATAACTCGGACATAGGGACAGTTTTTGAATTATGGTTTGCGGTAATTGCGTTTGTGTATTCAATTTGGTTTACCGTTTTCTTCTATTTATTTCCTTTGCCATACGTTAGTTTTTCATTAAAAGTTACCACTTTATGATATAATTGCAGAATATGAGTTTCAATACCTTGTAAAATTGTGTTGGGCATATTATGTTTTTCTAAAGTGTCACATAAATACGTTAATTTTATTATAAAATCACTATCAATAAACTTGTTGGAATAATTATGACTTTCTTTATAAAAATAAATGTAAAGTTCTTATCTAAGTTCTGACACTCTACTCTCTTACTCAGAAACTCTTACGAGAATGTTACCATTTAATAGCCATCTAGAATTACAATAAAATAGTAACGCAGTATGCTGTGCTCCCATTTCTTCAGATATCTTTTTAAAAAATCTTACTTTAATATAATTTTATTAGTATTTCATGTAAGATACCTATTTAATGACGGATTCATATTTTGTGTTTCTAATGATACTCGATGAATAAGATAATGATTATGATTATGATTAGATAATGATTCCATATAATTTCTGAATTTTTTTATCGTATTATAGCTTGAATTCCACCATAGTGACCAGCCAAAGTTCGAGCTCCGCCTGGAATATTATAAAACAAATATCGATAAACAATACATTTTTTTTAATAAAAAAATCACATAGTCGTGAAAAAATAAAAATAAATCTTTTATTTTATCAGTTAGTTTTAATGCAACTCGTGGTTTTTCAGTTTCAGATATCAGATCGGGTAATTTAACGGGTTCTGAGTGGTATAAAAAATCGGAATTTGCGATTACTTACAAATGTGTACAAATATAATAACAATATTATTACTGTAATATTTTTAATGAAATTCCAAATTAGAAGTGCTAATGTAATGGACCCCTTTATTGACCCATTTTTAATGTAGTTCGGAATTAAGAAAGATGTTTTTTAAATTTTTCTTGTAATTTTTTTATTAAATAATTTGATAATTTTTCTGTGGATAACTTTCTACCAGCAATTTTGCTAAGGTTTTCAATGATAGCACGTTTTCTGGAAGAAAATCAGAATGGGAAGATACCTTAGAGAGAAATTTTTTTTGATTTTCCCAGGAGTTTTCCCAATGAATTGAAAATTGAAATTTGGATATAAAACTTATATTTACTTACTAATATATATATTTATGCTTACAAATGCGATATTTTATTATTTTTGTGTATTTGGGTTAGGTCCATAAGTACGTATTTCGCGTTTTGACTTAATTTTCCATTAAGAATAACGACCCGGATTGAAGATAATATTATTATAGAAAATAGAATTTACTACCAATGCACGTTATTCATAAATACATAATACTTAGCGATATAATTCATTATATACGTGAACTTAGTAGATTTTACCTTCGATGTTTTTGAATATAGATTAACTATTATTGAAAATTAGACTATTTTTCATTGGAACGAATATAAAGTATATACAAATAAAACAAAAAAACAAAAAAACAAAATAGGTATAGTGTTTATAATACTTTGGGTCAAATATTCAAGCATCATTAGGTGATGACAGCAGCTGTCGAATTTATTACTGTAAATAATGGGATGGATACATTTCCGAAATCATGGAATAAAAAATTAAAACCAATTGATTGCGCAACATAATGCTATCCTTAACAAAATCCAAACAAAATCTAAAATCCAATGGAGAGGTTAAAATTAAATTAAATGTGCAAAAGTGTATGAAGTAAATTAAGTATTTATTTATATATATGAACTCTCTGGTTTAATATTCCCATGTAAATTCAAATAATATTGAGTTGACTCTTACGAACATGACACAAAGACTACGAATTGTCTACATTTGAAACAAATTTAAATGCAAATTACGAAATAAAACTAGAGCTAAAGATTATAATTAAAATATAATAACATGTATTTAAAGTTTAAAACGAAGACATTTTATCCGAAAATATTGTTGTTATTCACTACCTGCACCTATTCAAATTGACAAAGATTTTCCAACGGTTGTTTTTATTGTTTTTAATCATTTTATTTAAAATTCTAAGTATGTAGCATATTAGTTAATAATATTTTGAATATTATATCGTTTTAGAAAGATAAAACTAATTTTAATTTTGTAAAAATTAAAATAACTAAAAATGTATAGATAACTTAATAGTAAAAAGAGAAAGGTAAAATAATGGGAATGGGTATTATATTAATATGATATTAATCAGCCACTGATGTAGGTGAGAAGTTGAGAAGGTAGAGTATAGACAGGAATTTAATGTATATCTGTAAGCAACAATAAACCATTGCTTACGAAAACACGATTCTGAACGCAGTTCAGTTGATAGTGATGCTTTTTAAACAATATATATGTCATTTTATAGTAAAATAATTAAATAGGCTTTATATATTTTCTTTAATAAAATCTGTGTAATATTGTACTGATTTTCCCAGTTTTCCTACGTTTATCCAGGTTTTCCCATGTTATATCCCGGTTTTTCATATTTGTTGGGAAAACTTCTTACAAAATTGAAAGTTTAAAGTTTCTCGCCGGTGAAATTTCCTTTTAGAAACATTGCAAAATTGCTGATAGAAAAGTTGTCCATAGAAAAAGAAATTGTAAATTATATTTATTATACTTCGTAAATCTTTCTGTTTTTTTTTTTTTGATTTTTTGCATTTAATGAGAAAACACTTGAGAATCTTGAAAAAGGAACTTCCTAAGTACCTCTCCACGCCTTTTAGAAAAGGCGCTACACGTAGAAATTCAATCAAATCTCCTGGTAGAAAAGTTGCGCACAAATAAAAATAAACATTTTTGTAAAATCATAAGTTTCTTCGCTCCACTTTTGTTTTTTTTGAACAGACGCACTTTATCAGATAACTAAAATCAATACGTACACTTGTATACCTACTGTTTCCATGTTAAACACGTGCATTCTTAATATTTTTATTGTTGACTATTAGTAACATCGAACAAAGAATATTTCTTTACGGAACCGTACGATATTATTTTTAGGAACCATGCAATCGTATTTTACCCTTTATAATATTAAAAATAAATGATCGTAACTTATTACTATATATCCCGAGTTATAAGTGGGTACACTCATTATCTCGGAAAGTTATACATTTTTTTGAATTTATTTTCTAGAACATTTAAGAACAAGCTGCTCTACAATTTTATATTTATGTTATTTTTTGAATTAAAACTACTACTACGTACTTTTGATTTTGAAGTGGCAACCTATATTAAAAAATCCATGTATAGACGGAGTAGGTATTAGTTAAAATACATTTAAGTATTGAAATTGTTAATTTCCGTCAATCCATTGACGAAATATTCCACTTTTAAGTTTGGGTTGGAAGAGAGTAGTGTAGTATCATGTGTGGCAGTACAACACGTAGCGTGTTAATAATGCACAACTACTTTCCTATATGAACCAAATTAAAAGTGGGATAACTCGTCAACGGATTGACGGAATTCAAGAATGTCAACACTAAAATTTATTTTAACTAATACCCCATCTATTTATGGAATTTTTAATGTAGGTTGCTGTTTAAAAATCAAAATTCAGTAATGGTTTACCCCCAAAAATCAGAGTGACAAAAAATAATATAAATATTAAATTCTAGAAAAAGTTAATACTTGCTGAGATAATGAGTGTACCCATTTAAATAGATCACCTGGTATATATATATATTTTTTTTTACTACTTATATCTAACTCATTGTTCAAATTTATAATCTTTATGAATTATGAATTTATGTGTGGTCTGATCAATACTTTGGACTTATGAGTTTTTACTCTCTTAGTATAACTATGCAATTAAAATTATGACTCACTGCCAAGTCAATTTCAATATACTTAATATTGTTCTACGAAAAGGCCTATGATGTGACGAATGAAATTACCCTATAAATTATAATTTAATAATTACCGAATAAATACTATTATATTTAAAGCATACATAATTTATTTTAAACGCGTAATTAAATGTCGATAAAATTTGAATATTTAAACATTATAACTATTTAGATTCAAAATAAATACCGAATTCGTGGTCAATTTTCATTTAACATTAATTATTGTTTAAATTTTTATTTCATTTTTATTACATAAGTTTATTATTGATGACCAACGTCGTTTGTTAATTCGGTATGCCTAAATAATATAATCATATTTTTATTTTATTGTAAATGTTTCTCTTTAGACGTGTATCCGTAGTGCGAGGTCAAGTGTTATCACCACAAGGTTTGGGCATTATAGGCATTAGGGTTTCGGTGGACCGAGACTCAAGGTTCGGGTTCACGTTGACCAGAGCTGGTGGATGGTAGTTACAATAAAATTATTATAATAATATCATGGTTTTTTATTTATAGATAAGGTGTTTACGAATTCGAAGATAAGGTGACACTTCACAACCTGTTAAACAACGAATTCTTATAAGTTAATGATCATTTTGTTACCGTACCTGAAAAAAAAAAAACAGAGAACTTCGTCGAATTTGCTACCCATCAATATTTTATATATTACTATGAATTAAGATACACAGGATGCTGAACGAGAGCTAATCAGTCGAAGAAAAAGTTTCTAAAATCTACAGTAACATTTAATAAACTAAAACAGTGGTACCATTTTAGAAAAATTATTGAAAAAAGAAATAATTGTGTAGGAAGTATATTTGTGTTGTCTTTGTTTTTGTATACTGAAGAATTATTATACAAAATTAGTTTAGAATTAATTCACCGTAACCATTTAGTGCCACAAGTTAAACTAAGGATAATTGGAAACCACGGTCTAATATATAGGTTGCGCAACTCGCAAACCTTATGGGTATATTTAATTATGAATTTGGTCAGTCAGATAGTACTTAAAATGCCATGTAGTTAGTTTTCAATTTATAGTTGAATGCTATTCATAATAATACGTAGTAATGATTATTAGGTCTATAGTTAAATATATTTTATAGTATAATTTTTTTCGTGATTAAACTTATCATTTGTTCTATTCTAGTAGTTTTCTTTAAAGTAAAATAAAATTTGTTTATATTTTTTTTATGTTTCAGTGTTTCACAATACCATTTAAAAATTTTCCTCGACTATAATATAGTTCGTTCTTTTCAAAGAACTATTCTTAATAGTGCTCAAAAAAAGTGTATTATAACATACAGTGCGATGTTTATTTACAAAGCCAACGAAAGACAAAGATAATATAATATTATATATATATATATATATAATATAATATTATATATATATATATATATATATATGGTAAATAAATATATAAATAAAACATTTATATATATAAAAAATAAATAAATGAATAAATGCGTCGCCTGGAATATTATGATAAGTTTATTATACAACCGGTTTTGAATTAAAAATTCATTATCAAGTTTATCATAGTCAAAATGTAAAACGCGATTTATAAAAAATTAAATGAAGGAATAAATAGAAAAAAAATTATACAAATTGATCGTTTTACATAAAAATAATTTATTCTAATAAGAGAGATTATTTAATATGGGTTATTTTTAAACATAGATATGTTTAGAAATATAAATCATTTGGTTATTAATTATTATCTAAAATGTATTGATATAAGATGTTATTTTTAAAATCGTTTTGCACGTTTTTTATTTCATTGTGTACATTATGTAATTTTTTTAAAACGGAATTAATGTAAATTTTATTTTGGGTATTTAATATCTCTAAGTCTGTATTAATAATCAAAGCTTATATTATGGTTATTTTCTTAAACATGTTTAGCGAAATTTGAATTAGGGGCAGTCTTTTTTAATTTTATTACAGAAGCATGTTCTTTGTATCTTATTTTGAAATTCCTATTAATCTTAACTATATAAAATTTATTACAGTTAAATTTAGGTTTATATATCCTAGCATTTTCAAAAGAAGGGGGATGTTTTGTGAAGTTTTTAGTTCTATTGTTTATATGTTTGATAAAATTATTAATAGTTTTAAAAGCGATGTTTACATTATTTGTATTATTCAGAATTTTAACGAATTTGTTAAACATATTATTTTGATATTTCACACTTCAATAATTAACAAAATTATTTGGTGAGTTCTGTATTATTTTTTCTGTAATATGTTTATGAATTTTTTTAATAGCATATAAATTTAAATTATTTCTATGGGCTATATTATTAAATAATATTGAGTTCGTGTTGATGATTATTTGTATTTATTGGAATACGTCCAAGTCTATGGAATATTGAATTGAAAAACGATACCTTTTTAAAAAGAAGGGTGATTAGAATCGTGAGGTATAACATCAGATTGTATAGGTTTCCTGTAAATACTAAAATTAAATTTTCGTATAATACACTTATCATAATACTCCAGGCGATTAATGAAATAATAAAAAAAAAAGTACTAGCGTATAACGCTTGTTAAGTTTAATCAAATATATAGATATCGTATTTTTTTAAATCGGACCTTTACTTTATGCTTTACAAAGAAATACACTAAAAGCATAACACTTCATAGTCAAGTACAAATACGCACTTTAGCTGTAATAAACATACTATCAATATTATGATAATATATGGCGCTGATAGTATTTTTTACTGTCTTATTTATCAGTATGTAATGTTATAATTTATGTTGTGATATAAGCGAGTTGCTGACCTGTGTATAAGACCGTGTTGAAAACTTTCGGACCGCCAAAATACTGATAAAATGCATTCGTTCGATATCCTGTATATCTTAATTTTTGAATAACTAATTTTTCTAATGGCTACGAACCCTACACAATAAACGTACCTTACTATAGATAGCAATTGTATGTTAATACACAATTTGTAAATCGGAATATTAATCTCAATGTCGAACAAGCCGCACAAAAAAGAAAATAACTTACTGGAATTATTTTAATTTTGGTGTTCAATGTATTTCAATACATTTTGTATTTTATTTTAAACACTAGTCATTTCTTGTACTATCATTTCTTCGATCATTTGTATACGGTTAGAAGTTTTATTTAAAAAAAAATATTGTAATTCAGCTATTCGACGTGGCCAAATCGTAACCACCTTATCTATATATTCACAGATTACATATAATAATAAGTATGAAACCAGATGGATCCAAATAAATGACCTTCTTGAAATAAGTATGATAAATAAGTAAATTAATATAATAATTAATAATATTGTTGATAATGACATCCAAATAATTGGATACAAACAATAAAGCGTGGTCTTTACTTTATTCACTTTATCATATTTGTTGAAATAAAAATATAGATAGGTATATATATAGAATTTATAAAGATAAATGAGTTTAGGTATTGATTTTAGAATATATAGATAGCTAATGGCATCATCTCAGAGGGGTATATGATAGTACGGACTTAGCGAACCCAGGGGCCACAAGCACTGGTGAAAAGCTCAGGTTGATGATTCCAGAAACCATATCTGTAGGTAGGAGAAATTTACTTTAAGTTAACAATACCATTCTCCTTATTTGAGGGGATTAAAATACTCCAATGGTACCTCTACTTGTCGTTACAGGTGACAAATGGGGTTCAACAGCCGGTGTAAAATTCTGTCAAACAGTATGAAGAGTTCTAAACAAGCCCCATCTCGGATGTACATGGGGATAACACGTGAGAGGAGATACATGATGTATGTTTGCAGATGCTTTGATAGGAGAAAATCTGTAATAAGTTAACAAGACAATACCAGGCAGCTAACGAAAATAAGTGGTTATAGGTGAGGTCGAGGGTTACTTTGGAGAGAACCTAAGATCTTTTGTACAAAATAACGGTGTCTTTCATAAGAATGTGAAACATAGATTTAAGTGTGGTTGAATAAAAAGGAGAGAAGCGGCAGGTGTTTTATGTAATAAGAGAATTTCAATGAGAATTAAAGTTATATTCTACAAAAGTGTGGTAAGACTACCTATGTAGTATGTTTTGTAGCATTGGGTGGTAGATAGTAAAATAGAACAGAGAATGCAGCGATGAGAATACTTAAGTGGATGAGTGAAGTGACAATAGAAGATAGGATAATGAATGAGTACGTAAGTGGTAGTTTGGCATGTCTTCGATAGTATAAAATAATGAGAGAAAATAGATTGACTTGATTTGGGCATGTCATGAAAAGAGTAGAATCAGAAGCAGTGAGAATTGTAATGAAATTAACGTAAAAGGAAAAAGGTGGAAAAGAAGGTTCGAAAAAGTAGTTTGGATGTGATTGAGAATAATACGAAGACCGCCAGTATATGCGAGATGGGAGATAGGCTAAGTGGAAGTTTAGAACAAGGGTGGCCGACTCGAAATAGTTGGAATGAAGGCGAATGTAAATTGAGTTCAAATTGAATTTATCGTTTTTTTTAAAACCGGTAAATTGAGTTCCTCATATAAATATCAAATCCATAAATCGAGTTCCTCGTATAAATTAGTTACAAAATTAGTAAATTGAGCTTCTCGTACGAAATAAAAGCAGTCGGTAAATAAATACAAAATTCTCCAGGAGTAACCAAGAATTATCGGCATGCCATTCAGTCGGAACGCATCTATGTCGATTGTTACCTTACGTAACAGTTAGGTAAAACGTATTGTATTTGAAAAATATATCAATCATAATCATATCGATGACTATGCGGGGTGCAATTTATGACTAGACTAGTTTTCAAAATTATGTGTTTATTCGTATTATTTAAACCACACATCCAAATATTTATATTTTTGTTGATGCACTTAAAGGACTCTAATTAAATACGTACATTTAAGTAAAAAGTAAAGATATGAATAAAAAGTCAAAACACAATATTGAAAATAAGAATATATTTAAAGAAAAAATGATGAAGTACAAGATTAATAAAAATATCTAGACTTGAATTTATATTATGATTGTATTACTTAAATATTTACATACCTGTTTAATATTGTCACAACTATCATTATCATTATTGGTATTAATGTATAATGTATAATTGTTACTTTACTTTTGGACAAAATATTAATTATTTTTGCTGACAATATTATTTATTTTTATTATTCATACGAGGGACTCAGTTTATCTAAACGTAATTAAATGGGGCTCAATTAATCAAATCCCGATAGCCCATGACATCGGGATATTTGGTGTCTAAAATTATAGTTATGTTGTAAGATAGTATAGCTATATTCAATAAATTTTTTTTTTCTTAAAATAATAATTATTTATCATATTGACGACACGATAATGCGGTTGCCTGTTATCTATGTGTAATTAGTTTATTTGTGCATATAAATAAACACGATAAGTACTATCATTTTATTATTTCAAAAATATTTCCAAATTGAAATTGCATTCAAATGATCAAACAACTTTTTTAGTAAAATCCAAATAATTCTAATTAATAGTTGTTGCGGAATTTTTAAGTTTTAACTAATTTATTACAAAATATTTAAATATGATAAATTAATAGACGAATAGTAGGAATATAAAGAACTAGAAAAAAGTTTACGTATTATTATTTCAACATCCCTAATATTTTGGATTTAATTTATTTAATAGATATTGGTTAGACTATACGAGGTATTATAGTTGTATTAAAACGTATTAATTGTATTAATAAAAAAGGTAGATCCAGCATATATATATTTTACGGTCTTGCTATTTGCCATTGGCTATATTAACACAATTAGCAAGCTAGATTATAATTTTTATTTTGTTTGATGATTTACTACAGGTTGACAATAATTATCTGGTATAACTGATAATTGTTAACAAATACAACAACTATAGATACAAATATTGAAAACTACATGGTATAAAACTGCTGAAGGACTCATCCAGTAAAATATTTATAAAGATATTTTATAATATTATTGTTCTATCCTTTTCACTGCTATGCCCACATATATGTGGACAAGAAAATATAGCCTATAAAAAAAACGGGAAAATTGTTATAGATTGTGTTATGATTTACACACGTCTCTGAATTCAACGGTATTTTCAGAAGTATTCTATATTTCCAACCTCTTGGGGGTTTTCAAACACTAGATTCATATTATTGTATATTCATGGTTGTAATTTTTTTGTTTACAAAGCACCTTGTTTGTATATTTGTAGTGTTTGTTTTAAAGAAAACAACAAACCATTTTACAGACAACACCATAAACTATATTATAATAATTTAATATAAGCGTTAGTGCATTGCGCAAGTTTAGAAGCCCTTGGCCGGCAGATTTTCATTGAGCTATAATTTTGTAAGTTTTGGTTCAAATTTTTTTTTTGAATTTTCTCATTTTTAGAATGTTCAAATCTATCAGTGTAATAATAACAATAATGTAATTAAAATGTTTTTATTTTTTTCATAAATTTTCAGAATAGGGCACAAGCTTTTGTGATTTTGGTACTTAGCAGTGAAAGAGCTATAATTAGTTGAGTGATGAAAATGATATTATAGTACTTATTGCATTTTCTAATAGAATGATTACATTAACATCGCACGATTAGTTACCTCCCTTCACAGCTCGTCTATCTATGACGGCAGTTAGGACTTGTATTTCGCCTTACTATGACTGAGTAACCCCGCTGTTGCTGGCTGACAACCGTAGTGCTACATAGGAGCGGATGACTTTTAATCGGTCCCCACATTTAATCATATCCGATATGCTTATCTATATATTCTAAAATCAATGATTTAGATAACGTAATTATTCAGCGAAAATGATTAATCAGAAAACCAATTATGATAATTATCAAATATATTAGATAAATGTTCACGGAATAATTTATATTATCTATTCCATAACAAATATTAGGCCTTTCCCTAATTAAATCATGCAGATATTTTGCCGTTAAACACAATAGCCAACGTGTCAACACACACAGTTGCATATCTTGCATATCTATTTTATACCACAGAATTTAACTTCGACACAATCGGCGGTGAAATCAGTATAAGCGAGTGTATTATTATTTTCGGGCCGAAATTAATTTTCTGATATCCATCTGGTTTTGTACGAGAACTGATGCTAACCAATCATCGGGTTCCCAAACTCAACCGTCAGCATTGCGATTGCGTGCCCATCAGGTTTGACGTGATGGTCAACGGCGGTGAGGCAGTCACTTTGCAGTTTCAACGGAGCCCATTCAGACCACAGACCAAGACACTTTACGTGCCTTGGAACCAGATTGTTTCCCTATCGCCGATAAAAATGACTCTACATGAAGAAATGGACTCATACAAGGAGACTACGGTGGACACTAATGGTGAGTGAGTTAGTTTAGGTTAGCATCCAACCACGATGACAAGAAACAGAAAAAAATTTCAAAAATCTTAAAGTGCGATCAGTCTGATGCGACAAAATTGTTTTTAAAACTAATCTCCTTTCTCTCATTTATCTTATATTGGTGGGATCAATTATTCTTACTCATGCCATCCATATTTTTATATTTATCACCATTTCTCCGTCTATACAAAAAATAATAATATCTCCCTCAACAATTAATAACCCATAACCATTTTTTCTTTGGTATACATTTTTCTCATTATTTCCATCTACACTTATCTCATCTTCTTTATTTTCTCAATGTATTTCTTTCTTTCAACATGCCACTAAATGGGCATACTATTTATTTATCTTTTATTTTTCTATTATACTCGCTGTTTCTAAACTACATAATAAAGATTCATATATAATCATAATCACATCCTAATACAGCAACTCTGCAATATTGTTCTCTTGAAGTTTTATTCCGGAATACGGGACACAATGATATAAATGCCTAATTATGAAATTATTTTTCGTGTGACAGGATTATACGACCAGAACATGTACAACATTACTCCGTGTGTGGATCACAAAGAAAGTCCACAGATCATATCGACGTGGTTACCAGAGAAAATAGGAGGCATGCCTGAAAAAAGTGTCATATTCGCAGAGACTCAGGTGAAATCTAATTGTTATTAATTTTAAACGCTAATATACTGATCGGAAAGTACTATAGTGGGTAATTTATTAATTGCCGTCTACGATAATAAGTATTTTAGATTTGCAAGTTCTCAAATTGTTTACGCATTTAAAATAATAGGGAATGACTTAAAATAAAAAAAAAAATATTAGATGAATGGGTAGTCAAATATAAAAATTGTGTGCTAACTTCACTAATTATTGTTTTTTTATATTTATTTTTCTAGTTGCTTCAAGAAAGTATAGGCATTCCTGGTTCAAATTTGAACTTAATATACAGAAGTAGCTGGGCGACCGGATATTATTCGTATTTAATCATTCATCTCACTCAATCTGATATATCACCCGAATTAAAAGTTGTGTTCATTTCAATAGAAATTGAAGGTTCAATTTACAACCACGTGCTCGAGGCAGATCCAAATTTAAAGTACACGTTTACATGGGACAAGCGAAACGTATACAAACAAAAAGTGGGTTTTATAAAAAACCATTTCATTATAGTCTTCAAATAAGTTATTTTATTTTGACAGTAAGACTAGAATTTTCGATTTTGAGTGATGCGAAGAAATTTATAGTTTTACAAAGATGTTTATTTTTTTTTGTGCACAAATTTTCTACCGGAAGACTTACTCTGATTTATAAGTGCATCACCTTTTCTGAAAGGAAATCACTATGGAGAGGGTACTTAAAGGAGGTAATTTTTCGATTTTTTTCTGGAGCTTTCTCATCAAATTTGAAAAACTGAAGAAAAAAAACAGAGGAAAAACGGGAAAATATGTGAACTATATTACTAAAATATTACGAATTTATTTTCCTGTGCGCAATTTTTCTCCAACTTATATTTTCAGCAATTTTTCTAAAAGAAAATTTCATTGGGGGGGGGGGTACTTTAGAAAGATCGTTTTTCGATTTTCTCTGGAATTTTCTTAGCAAATGTTAAAAACTGGGAAAAATCATGGGAAGACCGGGAAAATACTTAGAAAAATCGTGGAAATCTGTACATTAAAAAAATATATAGAGCTTATTTAATTATTTTACTATAATAGGGCAAAAATATTGTTGACAAAGCATCGCTATCAACTGAACATCGCTCAAAATCGATTTTTCGTAAGCAATGGTTTATCGTTGCTTACAGGTGTACATTAAATTATCTATAACAGTGGCTGCACCAATCCTCATTATCCTAGGATGTCTTTTTTATACTTTATATTAATATAACACACACATTTATATAGGTTTATGGAATTGCAAAAGCAAAAGTTTCGATCGGCTACGAGTATAAGAGCTGTAACCAGATCGTGTGGGAAGTACAAATGGCCGTTTTACAAGGTTTTGATGTGGATATATCAGATATCGGTGGATGGAGTTTGGACGTACATCATCATTATAATTTCCACGAAGGTAACATTGAACATATATACAAAATAAAAACTTAAATACGGTTAATTTACGGTTATTGTATGTAATTCGCTAAATAAAATATTTATTTATTTTTAGGAATTTTACAAAAAGGCGACGGATCGATATTGTATTTTAAACATCAATATCCGCACACCTTACATGTAGTAACTGGTACGGGTATGCAAAGGCCGTTGAACTGCAAAGATTGTAATGGAATAGCCAAGGATACAAGGCTTTTATCTCCACTAGCATTGGCCAGTGGTCCAGACGGAAGTCTTTATGTTGGAGACTTTAATCTCATCAGAAAACTCACGCCAGAAGGCAACGTATATACCGTATTACAACTTAGGTACAAATTAGTTTAAACTAGGAATACCAATAATTTCGGAAATCATTATATTAAATTTGTAACTATAGTACTATGCTGTTGTTTTAGCGCTACTCAAGTTTCGCACCAATATTATTTGTGCTTATCACCTACAGACGGTTACTTGTACGTCTCTGATACTGAAAAACATCAAGTACTTCGTGTGCCAACCACAAGCTCGGTAGTAGATCCTACAATAAACTTTGAGGTATATGTCGGTTCTGGAGAACGGTGTGTACCGGGAGACCAAAGCAGTTGTGGTGATGGAGGAATAGCAATCAAAGCAAAACTATCGAACCCAAAAGGTTTGAACATTTAATATTTAGTTGTATAAATAACGTGCAAATCACAGAGTATGAAATTATAAATGGAACTATGATTCCCAGAAAAATATTAAAATATACCTTACATAGCAAATAGATAATAGATAATAATATACTGTCATACCAGCTTTCTCTCGGTTAGATTAGGTTTTTATGATATAGTGATTAAATTTTATTTTTTACAATTTTAGTCTATACTGTATACTACTAAAAGCTCGAATAATTTTATTTACGAATTCAAATTCCTAAATTTATTTTAACATATTATTAATATATTTTTTTAGGAATCGCAATATCTTCTGATGGAACCATGTACTTAGCTGATGGTACTAACATTAGGGTGATTAGTCGTCATGGTATTATAAACACGTTGATTGGCCATCATAAACATAACAATATTTGGCAACCGATGCCGTGTAAAATCGCTGTGCCAACATCACAAGTGTGTAAAACAAATCGTATCGCAATGAGAACATATTTTTCATGACATTTGTTTGACAGGTACAACTTCAGTGGCCTACAAACCTAGCGTTGAACCCACTGGATGAAAGTTTGCATATAACTGACGATAGAGTAGTTTTGAAAGTGACCAAAGATCACCGTGTAAAAATCGTGGCGGGATCGCCGTTGCATTGTTATTCGGGCAATGAGGTGGATAAAAGTGGCAAAGAATCGAAAGTACACGAAAATCAAGAAGTAATGACGGAGTCATCGAAGGCTACACAAACAGCTTTAGGGACCATTCTAGGTATTACTTTCAGTCCCTATGGTGATTTGTACATAGCCCAAAGTGATTCACGAAAAGTTAATACAATCAAAGTGGTAAATTCGGCTGGATATATATCACACTTTGCAGGTTACCAACAAACTCAAAATCCTCAAAAGTAAGTATACAAACTAATCGGAAAATTTAAATTGATATTACTTATACCAGGTCTTGTTAGTTCAGAGCAGAATTTATAATTAGTATCGGTTTAACTAAAAACTACCAGAATACTACCCTTTTATTATTAAGTAATAAACTAATAATAATTTACAAAGGACATTTATATAATATATGTTTCCTGAAAAGGTTTTATAAGTGTACCAGTTACTTATGTACTCTATACAATCAACTGTGTCAATGTTATTAATAGGCAATGTGACTGTGACAGCAACAACGCTACATGTCAATGTGGAAACGGGTCTCGAGAACATTTGCTTTCTATTACCGCTAAATTTACTACGATTTCAGCTATCATAGCATCTCCAGACGGTGTACTTAATATTGCCGACCAGGTATTTGATATATCTACTTAGAATTTATGATGACTAATCAAAAATGAATAAATTGCAGGGCAATCTTCATATACTTGCATTGAAACCCTATTTGCCATCTCACGATCTGAACGGTGAGTTCCAAATACCATATCCGGCCACCGGGGAAATTTATATTTTTAACAGATATGGACAGCATACGGCTACCCATGATTTGATGACTGGTAAAGTACGGTATACATTCCTGTACTCAAAGAACACAAGTTTTGGCAAATTGTCAACTGTGACCGACAGCTCAGGGAACAAAATGCTATTTTTAAGGGACTATAGTAACGTGGTAAGTTACTTTGGTTCATTTCTAATATTAGACATTGACTTCAATAATACACCATTACGATTTATTTTTAAGGTAAGTGCTATAGAAAATTCACAAGATTATAAATCTGAACTTGTCATATCTGGTGCGGGCAATCTCGTCAAGTTTTCAGAAAAAGGTAGATCTGAAATAATGTTTAACTATGATAGCAACACTGGACTTCTGACTAGTCGTTCGGATTCGACCGCAGAGGTATATATTAAGTAACTAACCTATAATAAAGTAGTAACCAATAAATAACATTGATTTCATTTATTAAACAGGGTGGATCATTGTTTATCTATAATTACGATAAATTAGGTCGTCTAATCGATGTTGTTCTTCCAACGGGCGAAGTTTTTGAACTCTCTTCTCACATATCAATGGAAGATGACGGTTTCGAAGTCAATGTATTAACACCATTGCATAACCCTATCAGTATGATTTCGTTGGATGGACGCAGAGATCACATAACTATTAAAATGGAGGGGAATGATTACAAAAAACTGATAGTCAAGAACAGTACGTTTATATATTTATAATACATAATATAGTTTATATATTGTAATCATTGTTCTTAAATATGATGGAATACAAAGTGGGAAAATCTGTTTATAGGTGCTTCTGCCATTAGCGAGGCAATTAGTTTTAAAAATGGTTCATTCATGTTCCGGTCCAGATCCGGAGAAGTAGTACAATGTTTTGCGGAGTCTAAACACCCTATACTGGAACTTTCATTGCCAGTGGAAGCCGAAATGTTGCCAGTATTCAACAGGCAGGTGTCGTCGAGAGGTACTTTGTCTAATGTTGTGCTATGGACGTATTCTCTTGTTGGCGACGCTGGTTCTATCAAATTTATTATTAGAAGAAAACTGACCGTAAATATTATTTCGGTTGGAAAAATCAGATGGGTGCTTTAGCTGTAGTGATTTTTGTTCGCAGATAAACAATAGTTCCGTCCTTATAATCGATTACAACCAGTACACGAGAGTAGAGACGATTCATAGTGGCAATAAGCCATTCACTTCATTACTGAGCATTTCGTACAGCCAGAGTGGCCTGCCTCTGTCTTGGACAATTGGCCAATCAAAATATAGCGTCAACATAACATACGATAGGTAAGTTGAATGATTCAGTTTAATGTACATACAAATATTATAACCTATCTACTCACAAAAACATTGTTTTAGATTTAATCGCCTTGAGTCGTGGAGCTGGGGAGCCATAAATGAACAATACAAGTATACACATCACGGTCTATGCGTGCAAAAGATGTTGAGTCACAGAAGTCCTATTAAATATCTTTACAATAGTTGGAACAAGGTAAGTTTGTTTGACAATAATTATTGCTAATTTTGCAATAAACCCGTATTCATTTTGAAATAGATATCTGAAATTGAACTTTCTACAAGCCGAAAATTTGGTTACATTTATGACGAATCTGGTGGCTTGAAACACATCGTTTTACCTTCAGGGACGAAACATTCCTTTTCGTCTCAGACTTCGTTAGGATTTATACGGTACACGTACACCCCGCCGGGATCGACACGTGCATATTTGCAACATTATAGTTATACTGGAGCATTACTGCAGACCGTGTATCCCGGAGAGGGTGCCCGAGTTATATACAGATATCGTAGTTCCGGTCAATTATCTCAGGTAAACGAATGAATGAAGTAAAATAAAAGTTTAAAAGTGAAGTCTTGAACTGGAAGATAAATATATCATTCATAGGTGGTGCATGGAGATGGAATCACAAAGGTAAAATACTATCCAAACACACAATTACCCAGCCAAGTATTAAATATTGAAACGGATTTCGAATATCGATGGGATTATCAGTATAACGACGGGTTATTGATCGAAGAAAGAATCGATTATGGTCCTAAGACAGGTCTTAGTAACGCCAAAATTACTTATGAGTATGACAGTAATTTCAGAGCTATATTGATCGAAGGCCGTATAGGCGGACAGAGCTTACAGGAATATCATATAGAATATAACCCGGAGACGGGCAGTAAAAAATTGTTGGGCCAATTCGAGGTATTCTTTTTATTTTATTGAAACCAAAAAGAAATTATAAACATACATGTTTTATTTTCTTACAGTTGAATACATATGGAAACATAACGAGACTCTCAGATGGGACCGCTATATTCCATCGAGTGACTAACGACTATTTTCAAGTGGCACATATGTCTGTTACGATACACCAGATGGAAGTTTTCCGCATGGAATTTATGTACAATTTGGACAGTAGAATTATACAATCACGTACTTACACGCACAATGTGGGCGTCAATACATATACGACAGTTAAGAATTACACATTCGACGATGATGGTCAATTGCAATTTGTGGAAGCCCAGGAACCTTGGGGTTTTAAATACGATCAAAACGGAAATATGTTATCTATGACGTACAGGTAAACATCACAGTGTAATATTGCAAATAAATTTTAAAACATTTTGATTTTGATTTATTTATAGAGGTAACATGATACCTATGGAACACAGTGTGATGGATCGGATAGAAAAATTCGGAGAAGGACTTTACAGATACAATAACCGTGGGCTCGTCGTGCAAAACGCTAGGGAAGAAAAATTCCAGTACAATTCCAAGGGACTCTTAGTAATGAACAAAACAATACTAATTTTAATTGATAGCATAAATTATATACTGAATAATATTATATTTTATACAAATTAGATAAGAGCAATAAAAAGAGGTCGGTTTGACGTACGCTACTACTACGATCATCTCAATAGACTTAGCACGCGAAAAGATAATTTCGGAAACGTCACTCAATTCTTTTATACTAATCATAAAAACCCGAACGAAGTAAATCAAAAATTTTTATTAATAAATACTCGTATTAATTTAAATTGCACGTGTTTTTCAGGTGAGTAATATATTCAGTCCGAGAGATGGAAAGTTAATGTCGTTGACGTACGACGACAGAGGATTTTTAATATATGCTCAAGTGCACAGGCACAAGTATTATGTAGCAACTGATCATTGTGGAACACCCGTCATGATTTTCAATCAATACGGAGAAGGAATCAGAGAAATGATGAGATCTCCATATGGGCACATAGTTTATGATTCTAATCCGTACTTATATTTGCCTATTGATTTTTGCGGTGGACTTTTAGATCAGGTATATGTTCAAGGTTTTTTGAACTATTTAATAGTAAACATATATAATTTAATATTATATATAAACATAATTAAACATTAGATATTGGAAGATATAAGTTTTTTAACAAATATTACGAATTTTGTATTGGAAGTAATCTGCTTACTTTTTATTAGGCATTGTATACTTAAAATAAATTCTAATTTAAATTTGTACGACGATAGGTCATAAATAATATCGAATTTTAGACATTGGATAGAGAGGAAAATAAATTAAGTGGTACAAGAAATTGTTAAAGGAAATCATTTTGTTGGTATTTGTATAAGTTACAAGTTAATTGATCCGTATAGTATACTTAATTTTTTTTGTATGTGGTTAGTTAAATTTAAACGGAAATACCAGACTTGTTCATGACGACTATTTAAATTATTGGAGAAAAGCAAGAATTGTATGTTAAATATATATACATTTTATTACAGGTTACATCGCTGGTACATATGGCCAACGGTAAAGTTTATGATCCCTTAGTTGGGCAATGGATGTCACCGCAATGGGAAGGAATGCTAGCTAGAGCAACAGAACCTCAACAATTGCATTTATATAGGTTCAACGGCAATGATCCAATTAATGTAATGCCTACTCGAAAATATCTTAAAGGTATGTCTATAGATCATCGTTGGCATATTCTATGCCATAAGAGAACTGGCTATTTCTGTACAATGTGTATACATTCTGAGCTCTGGCTAATCCGGCAATTGACTGTTGAGCCGTTGTGTTCCTCTCTATATAATCAGAAGCAATGTTGCACCGTGGGTATGCGTGGTGCCAACCAGTTTTGGTCGGCGCATAGCTCGTTCTCTCTTGGGACAGATTATAGACGGTTATTTGAAATATTTCTGCGGTCATAAGCATCGCCGCGACAAATCGGTGGCGTAGATTGACAAATGAGGAGTTCAATCGGTTTTTATTCATTAGATTTAATTTCATGTTCTGTCTTAATATTACAAGTTGAAATAAATCATTAGAAAACTAAATTAAATAAAATAAAAACAAATAGCCTTACAACTGCTGTTACCAGAATTGGGAATAAATAACTAAACATAAACGGACATACTTTGCACGATGTGGCTACTATTGTAGGTGAGACGTTGGGAAGCTAGAGGAGAAATTTAATGCCTATCTGTACACAATGATTAATCATTTTAATGAAAAACAATTTGATCGAGCGAAGTTCAATTATACATGCTTCGAAAGTTTACGGTCTTTCAAAGGGGCCAAAGGGTAATATTTACGATTTTCGTTTAAATTTGATATTAAAAGTATTATAAAAAAAATGTCCACATTATATCAAATTGTATTTTTATTTTCCACAAAATATGACTAATGAACTTCTTGTTAAATTTTCAAGTATTTCTGTTTGGTTTAATAATTTTATTCACAAAAGTACCTACCTAGCTACCTAATAAAAATTACATAAAATACTGATTAAATAAATATGTCTATAAATAGCTCAAAAATGGCTAAAATGTATTGAACATTTTACCTAGAAAAGGTAATTATAAGTTTTCTGTCCAAATGGAAATTCTCTACAAATATCTTTAACTGAATTGCAACGAAAAAACAAAATTTTTCTTAAATTACCAATGATATTTTCAAAAATTGATTAATATTTACCCATGCCGGTTTATGCTACATGTTTTTTTTACTGATATTGTTTTTGACAAATTTAGGAATAAAGTAAAAATCAATTCGAGAATTATTAAAAGTTGATGTTCATCACAAATTTTCCTTTTTTTAATGGCCATTATATGTTTGAACTCACTAGTAAAATGAAACTATTACAAACGCACACAGTTACACATACAAACGTAATCATAGGTACACCACTACACTAATAATTACAGATCTAAAGTAACTGTGCGTACAGTAGTGCAGTAGTCATTATCTTCGATTCCGATAACTAATAATATATAATACTATCTAATCGTTTATATTTTATAGTTTTTACTATGCAAATAAATATAAACGATTAAATTATATTGTATTTATTAAGTCAAAACTCAAAAGAATTAAATTATATTGAAATTGACGTGAAAAATATTTTTAACATAAACGAAAATTTAACTTCTTTGTATGGGCCATAAAAAACTGCGCTCTTAAGCGAAACATTAGCGCTCTCCTTTTTATTAATTCTGCGGTCATATAGCTAGGATGTTGAGTTCATTTTTTTTTAGAAAGCGCCTCAAATCGTACTTAATTAATTATTTTAGTCAAATGTCCAAAATTATAAAAAATTTAGAAAATTTGCGGTTTTTATTTTATTTTACGCGATCCTGTCCTGTCCATATAATTTAAGACCATGGTCCCAATCGCAGGATAAAAAAACCAAGGTAAAAACGTAGAGATGTAATGTCACAAAAATAATTGTTTACAGATGAAAAATATTGGCTGTCTCTGGTCGGCTATGACCTGAAAGAACTCATGCCTCAGATGCCGCAGTCGATATCGACGTTCCCATCGCTGTTGCCATCAATGTCAGCGAGTCTTGGCAATATACCGTTAGACATAACGTCTGTTTACTTCAACCACTTAACAAAGCTGCTGAATAAACGAAAACTCACGTCGCTACCCGAATCGAGGACTCATGCTGACCCGACCGTCAATTCGTTTAAGGCGGCAGCAAAATACACCGACCCGATGTGGACGACGTTCTACACCAATGACCAGGAAGAGGAATCCGCAGACGCGGATCGGGGTCCAAAGGCCCATGGGATCCGACCCGGCGCATCACCGGCCCCACTGTTTGGCAATGGCATACACATATCGAGATCGTTCGATGGCCGGGTAATCGTGCAGAGCGTGCCCACAGCCAATCCTATCTACAAAGACGTGTTCACATCCGTGTTTAACAACACGTTCCTGTTGCCGTTCAGTCTGGTTATGCATGGCGCCCAGCAGGACGCCTACTATTTTGTCAAGAAGGACATTTGGCATGCCAACGAGGACAAGGCACAACTCAAGAGATTCGGTTCGCAATTGAACACCACTTTCCACGAAAAAGAATCCGACAACAATTCCGGAAAGGTATGAATATGACCATGGTAAACTAGATTAGGCCAAAGAAGAACATGGAAATTTGATATTTTTGATTAATCAATAATCAATAGGAAAGTAAAGAACTCAACATAGAATTGAGTAAAATTAAAATTTCGTACAGGCCTTTATTACTATTAAGTAGACCTTATACATTAGGGCAAATGTCACTTTTTCCCAAATCGTGTACCTATGATCTAAAAAAAATGTGACCTAATTGACGTGGCTTTTATCTTTTAATCAGCCGTGGTTTTTCAACCACTAAAAGTTTAAGACGTTAACCTAGTAAATTGTGTAATGTTAAATAAAATATTAACATTGTTTTTTGAATACATTTTAAATGTTTAGAAAATAACATTGATTTAACTAACAATAAACATAGTATTGAGTTAAGATAATATTTTTACGTTTTTAATTTCGTATACTTAGATTTTGATTTTTCACGAGCAGATTACCACAGTTAACTCCAAGGCTCTCTAAGCCACGCATATTATGCATCTGAATTTTTAATTTCATCTACCGTTATCCTGCGTTTCTGATTTTTTGAATATTGCAGACATTTCTTTTTTTTTTTGAACCTAGGTGGTTCAAAAGAAAGATAAGCAGCTAGGGTGGGCCATTTTCATCTGACACATTATCCTGTCAAGAAGTCGTTTATTAAACAACTTCTTCTTCTCTTTTATCTTCATCTCGACTATTTTGGAAAAGCCACTTTCATTCTTAACTTCCTCTAGATCTGACCTTTTATACACCTCATATAACCCTCGATTGCTTTCAACCACCTCTGTTTTAGTTTTGGTTTTCACTTCTTTTCTCTTATGTTTATTTTCATTACAATTCTAGTAAGAATTGTAGAAGAAGCAGTAGCTTCAGATTCCTCTCTGTTCGTGATATGCTCAAAAATATCTATAATTTTCTCCAATTTTTTGTATTATCGAAACCACGCCTAAACTCTCTCTTGTACTATCTTCTATCGTCACTCCACTCATCCATCTTCGTGAAAGCGTTCTCATCTCTACTATACTCATTCTTCGGCTACTGTCTAACAAACCAAACCATACAATTTAATCCGTCACACCACACTCTTGTAGAGTTTACCTTTAAGTCTCATTGGAATCCTATTGTCACATTAAACACCCAACACTTCTCTCCACATTATCCTACCATACTTAATCTTATGTTTCATCATCTTTAAAGCCTTGGTTTCCAAATAACTATCATCGTCCTTCTTCTGTCTAATAATCCTATCTACAAACCAATCGACTGCTGACCATTAGCTTTCGTCTCTAGTACGGCCATCACGATAGTCTTCGGGGACAGCATGTAGTATAGATCGACTTCTAATTCCTGCGTCTGTTTCCAGCAACGGTCACACTCAAAGAATGTGTGTTCAACATTGTCCGCAGTTGAAACACGCCCCTCTGGCGCTATTTTGAAGCGATGCAGATATTCTTGGAAACATCCATGACGAGAGAGGAATTGAATTAGGTGGAAATTAATCTCACCCCAATTTTGGGTAACCCACTTCTGAAAGGGGGGGAATGGGATTTATTGTCCATCGCTTTTGGTCCATCGTTATTTGAATATTACAAACCTGGTATAAGTTACCTGAACATGAACAAGATGTTGTTTTTATTATTATAGCACATCTTAATTTGTATAACAGTGTAAGACCTCATTGTTTTGTATCACTTAATTTACAGTTCGGTAATACTAGTAGTGTTAGAAAACGAATTAAAGAGCTAAAACGGTTTCTCTTATTTACTCCGAATCATGCTTTTTTACGATTTTCTGCTTTTTCAAGAGTTTCTTTTTCTTGCTTTGCTCTCCGTTTTTCATTTTCAATACTAATACTTCCTCTGTTATTTTTATGGCGAATCATATTTGTTATACATACAATACTTATTGCTTTTTAGATTTTTCCTTATATGCTTTTTAAATTGATGAAAATAATCTGAAAGAAGGTTTATTGTAGCTTTAAGATGTTGAATTATTTATATAAAGTTGAGCTAATAAATTCCAAACACTCGTTGAATTAACTTTATAATATGTTAGCTGATTTATATTTTGAATAACTTAAATAATCGGTATATCCATAATTTATTAATATTCATGAATAGATGTTGATATTAGCTATTGAAATTGGTTTTTACGTATGTTTTTATGGATTTTTGGTATCTGTTGACTAATGACTTTAATAAATTAAATTTGTTAATTAATTTAATAGTTTAAATTAACTTTTGTATAAATCAATAAGAGTATTAAAGCTGAAACTGATATACACAATTTTCAATCAATTTTGATTGATAATTTTTGTTATTGATTGATGTCTGAGCATCTTATAAATATATAATCTTATATATATATCGTTTTTGGCCCCACTATTGTTGTGACCAAAACAAACATTCCATTGTGTATGTCCCTCAAATAAACGATATGCATGTTGAATTTCTTTAAAATTTAAATTTATATTTTATGTGTGTAATTTTAAAAAAAAATGTCAATACTATATTTAAACGACATAGGTTTTTATTACGATTTATCTAGATTTAGTTCAATATTAATTAATATGGCCATTAGGCCATATTAAAAAGATGTCTCCATGTCTAATAAGCATTCAGTGGACAACTATTTTAACTAATACAATAAAATTAGTAAATTAAACATTTTTACTCATTAAACTTTTTATCGTTTTAAAAGGAAGGTTAGGTTAGGTTAGGGATAATATTTTTCTTTAAAATCAAGCTCTGAATATTCTTTTTCAAAATTACATTTTGTGTATAAAATAAATTTAACTCAAGATGGTTTTAATTAAAATGTACGAATATACTCGAGTAATCGGTAAAACCGATGTTCTTCAACAATAATTCATAGAACCACTGCACCACCAATAATCGACACGAACTAATGTTATTTTCAAATCGTTCGCTTTATGTTATTTGTATTTTTACATAAATATAATACATATTATTTTAAAAATTCCTCGTGTTCATAGATGGTGGACGTACGCATACACTGCGCGGACACGATGATGAACCTCCGATACGGTACCACTTTGGAACATGAGAAGCAGCGGCTGCTACACCACGCCAAGACGTCGGTAATGCGGAAGGCCTGGCACCGTGAGAGGGATCTACTCAGATTGGGCTTGCCCACCAACAAGGACTGGTCTGTAGCTGAAATTGATGAGATACTTAAATCAGGATATGCTACTGGATTCGATGGCGAGTACGTCCGGGACACGGATAGGTATCCGGAACTGTGTGACGACCCGTACAATATAAGATTCGTCAAGACCAACTAACTTGCCAACGACGACATTATACCAATTAATATATGTATAAATTATTATTATTATTATTACCACGAAACCGCCTCCATTACAGTATGATTTATTGTAAATAATATAATATTATAACAGTGTGATCCCTCCCTTCAACATCAAACTCGAAATACCCCGTACCCGTACCATCTTCAAAGTTCGCTGTCATATTTATATATTTTTTATTTATTGGTGCGCTTATTTTTTAACCATATATATAGGTATTTTTACAGAATATCAAATAGATCAGGAAAAAGGTAAATTCGGTCATACACTATGGCTTTTGTACGATAGTCATGACTGTTGACTTTTATTTTGTATTATATATTTTATATTATATTGTGGCAGTCCTAAGTCTAAAAAAAAAAGAAAAAGGAAAAATATTTTCCGGGTGAAAGTATGGTTAAGAAAAAATAAACATTTACTTATTTTAATCATCAAAGAAAATTGCCTTTAGCCTCTTCAACGGATTACACTGGGTTTTGAATGATAATATCAACATGTTTGAAATGCATTAGTCTAAAAGTATAGTTGTCAGTCATCGTCATTTATACTAATCCACTACTACATCTTAACTGTCAATAGTAAAGATCTACATTCGAAATTCATAATGTATGGCTGGGTTAAAGTGACTTTGAAATCTGCGATTTAAGAATTAATTAAGGCCCTGGGAAGAAATTCAAATACATCAATATAAAATAATATTATTATTAAATTTCTCAAAAAACCGTATATCGGTCTTTATATTACGAAAATCTTCAACCTCATATTGTTCTCTGATTGGTTTACTAGTTATCCATTTTATTATTTATGAAATCAGTCAATAAAAACCGATTTCTATTTCAACATATTATAACTGACAGTTTTGTAATTAGAAAAAAAAAATTGTATATAAAAATTGTTTTAAAAAAAATACTCTATCCAAATATGTAAAAAAAACCCCGGTGTTGCCATTTAAAGAAAATTAAGTTATATTGCGCATGCGCGTATTAAAAGAGTTAAACATTTAAAATTTGTATTTGGGTACACCCTATCATTCCCCGAAAATTTCATTTCAATACTAGGTCATCAAACTGAAATATTTAGTGATATCTTTTATCGTGAACATATTATATATATATGGAATAAATGGATACCTATAAATATAAAAAAAACAAGACATGTAGGTATAAATGGTTAGGTCAGTAGTTCTCAACCGATGTTCTTCGGCATACTAATGACTAGAATTGGCTGTTGGTGTGCTACTACTGAGATACACGCGTATAGTACCTATCAATAGGTATTAAAAAAAGAAATTTCCCAGTACTTATTTTTTTTGTTATCAATAATGATTATTGTTTGGCGGTCGACGTAAAACATTATGAACAACAGTTAGCCGTTAAACATTAATATTTTCTAACAGTCGTGCTTTAGTATTTAAAATAATTACATAAAATAAAATATTATTCAATAAAATGGACAAATGTAGTAATTTATTATTTTTAATAAACATCATATTGGGAATAATAGTGTCAAGATTTCAAATATAATAACTGATTCGGCAAAGAAATTTTATTTTATTCGGAAATATGCTGATAATTATTTAAGTTTTGGTTTTTTTTTGGGCGAGAAATGAAGAAGAATCTCTTCTATTTTGCGTTGTATGTGGGGTAAAACTTTTGAATAGTTCCCGAGTAAATTTAACCAACATCTAATTAAAAGATCAGAATTATTTTAAAGACGACTTTGCATTTATTTTCGATTATATAATATATAAACTATAAATTTAAAATTATGATAATAAAATATATATTTTAATTCTTAAATTAACATTATAATTTGTTATATATCTTACTATTATAATGTTTCGTCAAAATGTATTGTTATAAAAAAAAATGTGCTTTGAAGTTAAAAAGGTTGAGAATCTGGGTTAGGTAATGCTATGAAGTTATGATAGGTCCATTACGAGTGGGTGAATCGATAATTATCCAGGTTGTGTGCCAACGCTCAATAAAAACAATTTCTAACCGATTTTCATATATTCCAGAGTGTGATATGTCTTTCTTTTGCCCACCCTAATAGGCACACGTGCACAATGTTCATATCAAAATCAGAAATGATAATATTAATATAAAAAATTCTATCGAAACATGAAGATCTACATACTTTTAATATTTACTATAATATTATACCCTATTAAAAGTGGTATATATTTTAAAATTGACGGTGAACTTTGCTGGCCTTTTCTGGACACGTCTGTAGGGCTACGCCTTTACATATCTCACCTTATTGTTCTCAATCGTCAGTGGCGCCGAACGCTCGACGACTTATCACCTTGTATTTGTTTCAAAAAATAGAGTATATTAATATCATATTTTAGGACATTAAGACTATTGTTGGTTGAACTGATCTTATATTGCTGAAAACCCGGTATAACGTTTTTTTTTTTTTTATAAATTATATAACAACATAATATTCTTTACCAAGTTTTGTGGTATATTGGTCACCCGGCAATAGTTCCGATTCGTCCCGACGACCACGACTTGGCAATGCAATTTCAATACTACGTTGTCCTCGAAAACCATGGGCGATAGTTGGGAGGATAAGGTTGATTGGGTTTCCATAAATATCCCAAGTGCGTTCCGCATTTATACTTTCCATAACCCGAGTGCATTCGCTCTGTTATTGACAAATTATTTTGAACTGCTCCTCAATTGCGTCTACAGTTGTATTGATGCAGCATATAGGTATATACCTATATTTAAAAGCTGATATATTGAATAGTAAACCAACCATAATGGGCGTAAGCCAATAACAAATAATAAAATAATTAAATATTTTCGGGGTTTAAACCAGTTCACCTCTTCGTGGTGCACCTTGTGTAAATCTAAACGAACTGGGGCGCATTCGGGCTATGTTGAAAATATTATATTTTTTCTTGGGACGCACTCGGGTAATACTTTATTCTGGACGCACTCAATATATTGAAAACGTGTTATTTCATAAACCCCGAGGTTGGCCCCCCCTACTCGGACAAAAAGTACCAAATCTCCGCCTATGACTCGAACCACTGCTATTTTATACAAATATTATTATTATATCGTGTATATTGTTTGTTGTGTAAATCTCGTGATTATGATACGAATATTCTATTATTATATTATTATTGTCCGTATATTGTATATTTTGTACGACGAACCGGCGAGTAACGATTGAAGCAATTCTATTGGCTCGAAGTAGAATTTCATTATTATTATTATTATTAAAATTATTTAACAATGTACTTTAATTACATGTAATTATTATTTGTTTGTATAAGTGCTCGATTTTGCCAAAAAAAAAAAGAATTATTTAATCGATTTATTTTTATATATTTTATGATAATATTTGATTTTTTACGATTCGCCTCTTTATTGTATTTGTTCTCCGTATTCCAGTATAACATTATATACAAAATTGTAAAAACATTTTTTCGTTTTATCATACGTTGCATTTCTCGTTTTACTGTTTGTCTGTTTAGCCTAAACTATTTATAATACGGTTACTGTATGGTTTTATATAGATGCCGAATATCAGTATTAATTATCGAAATTATTATCACTATCGATGATTTATTATATTATATATTATAATATTATATTAATGTGTCCAGATATATTTATAACATTGTAAAAGAAAAAAAATTACTTACTATTATCATAATATAAATATTTAACGAATTTACTGTATTTACGTGCAATTTATTTACATTTTATTTTAATTTAATAAAAATAGTTGTATTTTTTCCTGCATTCTGGCCATGATGGTCGTTAAACATGATGCTATGATGTTGTTATAAAACTAGTATTATAATACTGTAGATTGCTCTCTGGCCTGTTTTTCGTTAGTGCAAAATATGAATTTTTATTTTCACTACTGCTCAACATGGAAGGGTATGGGTGCGAGAAAAAACTATTATTACTCACCGCTAGCAGTGGCGGTTCTAGCGTATGGGCAGAGTGGGCAGCTGCCATTACAAAATTTCTGGTGCCCATTATTTTAAAAATGTTATTTTTATACAAAAATAAGATGTTTCATCATTTGATAAATTATAATGATAATTTACAATTATATTATTATCATTACATTGATGACGAACTTACTAATATACACGATTAAAGATATAATCGGTATTATATCTTTAATCGTGCTAATATATTATCTATGTGATAATGTCGCTGCTAGAACTTGCAGCTGTTTTAGCGTTGATAGTACTATCTTAGTTCATAATTGGCGGTAGCTGTCTTCATAATAAACGGCATAACGTGATAACAAATTGTTACATATTGTGTAGATATAATATATGACTATTGTATTATTTTTTTCTCATTGTGAATTTTCGTTGTTTCTATTAATTTAATATAATGAAGAGATTTTTAACTCATTTTTCCAAACATAAGGCCGAAAAAACAATTGAAGGAGACACACCAAAATCTCCATCAGTACATACAAATGACTCTATAGCTAGTGAAAACACCAGTGTAAATAGTAGTATTGTTTTTAACCCAGAACCGACCAGACAATTGGTAAAATCTTCAAAAATATTAGACTTAAGTTTAAACTATGATCTACCTCTTGTACAACCAAATATTATTTATCCTTACAAATCCATGGTTAAAAGTAAACGGTCATTTAATAGTACTTGGTATAAACAGTATCCATGAATTGAGTACTCAATACAATTTGATCAAATTTTTTGTTATTATTGTAGACATTTTTTACCACAAAGTCAACATTGTAATCCTAATGCTGGTAATCTAACGATTCATGGTTATTCAGACTGGAAACATATAGGCAGTATGGCTAAAGTACATGATAAATGTGACACACACAAATTAGCATTGGCTAAATATTGCGAATATTGAACCTAACGATACACTACGTCCAAA